TGTAGCAAATTCAAAGTAGCAGAAGTGCTTGTTCATTCCATCGCATTAATGCACAAAGACATGAAAATTTAAATATATAACACTAGCGTTAAATGCTAAATAAAAAGTTACAACACTCTTTCTAGTAGAAACGAAAGAATGAAGTTATTTTACAGGTGGTAAATGTCACCATTCAACGGCATTCTTATCTGTATTGCAGATTTCTGTCAGTTTAAGTTGATAAACTATTTTATAAAATGATTTGCATTACAATCACAAATTGAACTCGACTTTTCCTTTCAGTAAAGCTAATTTTACATCAACTATTTCTTCACCAATTACTTCATGAAGTTATTTGTCAATTTATTGAACAATTTCAAGCTCAAGTTACCTACTTGGTTTTACATTGCTGTTAACTTGATCAATTTTTTGATGTCTTAATGTTATTGTACAGTTTCACCACCCTTAGGTTTCATTTTTACTTGTGTAACGTAGAATACGAGTACATAGACATACCTCAGTGGTCGACTGCATATAGAACTTTCACCTAGGATTTAGGGTGCGCGATTCATTGTGCATTCGTAATGCTTTCTTGGATTACAAAGATGCGATGGTTTTTTTAAATATTGATTGTGTTTTTCAGGTTGTATTATACGATTTTTCTGTTAGAATGAAAAAATTTGTTTCTGTATATTCAAGGGACAAACTTTAACTTAAATAGAAAATTTAGCCATGAAGTTATCAAAAAAACCAAAGTTTCGTTTCGTTTCTAATTTTACCTACGAGTGTGTATTTATATTGTGGATGGACATATTTCGGTCGATTTATAATTCATATTATGTAATGGTACAAAATATTTAATGAGGGTTGATTTTCACCCGCTTCATATAAAACGTGTTGATTCTTAATCACTGTAATTGGCGGCTGTCGAGTATGAAAGTCCACAGCATGTCCATAATATAGTATATACAATTAAAAATGACGCGCGTGATATTTTAATTTTATCTTCTCGACTCCCTAAGTTTAACCTGCCACTGCTTCATTTACAATTTACACGTTACTGTGTTTTTTAAAGAAGTTACACTAAAGACGTACTTGCACCCATGAATGTGTACAGAAAAGAGTAACAACTCATGGGCTCTTTTGAAAATTCTTTTTATTACAAACATACTAGAGCAGGTCTTCTATTTCTATCTGTAAAATTATTAATCTACAAATAATTTCTGTATATTTTTGTATTCAAATTTTGTTTGATTATTGTTTAATAAGGTCACAACTTTACATAACGAACATTTTTGTTTCCTTGTTGAATTTTATCAACAGGGTCAATGAACCTGGAACCACTCTTTTAATGTACGTAAAGAGCCATATCCCCTCCCCGTATAAAAAATAAATGTTTATATGAACTTTTACTTAACGATCGGCTATCGTGAGGGCTGTCATTTTATGGCCCTTCACATACTTGTTTCCTTGTTTGATTTTGTTTACATTGTTCAATTTATTATTAATTATTAATAATTTAATAAATGTAGGTACTAGGTCGAGTTCAAAGAATAAATTCGGTATTGTAATAATGGTATACTTTTTTTAGAAATGACCATGCTGGAATATTATTGGTTTATTTACTACTATCACAGATTAGTATATTTAAATCTGTGCTACTATTTACTTCCTTTAAAATACGAATAAAGATTAGACATATTCTACGTATGAAAATTAGGTATTGTTTATGTCATACTGGTAAACTGGTATAAGAAACGTTGAAAAAAGTTAGTAGACAGTTACTGCACAATAACAAAAAAACGAGCGACAGCTCAAACCGATATTACCAGACGGCGCGGTGCGGCATCTGGAAATACAGGTCCCAGTGGCTGGCATTTTCTGACTTTTGATTGAAAAGAAAAAATTTGATCTCGGAATTTCACAAGAAATTACTAAAATGGGCTACAACAAAGGGCATGCTTGAACACCTAACTAATACAGAGCTCGCAAGGAGAAACATTAATTTACTCTACGTACCTTGTTCTATTGCTAAGTGATAAAGGATAAGTGGTTCGAGTTGGTCGAAGGAAATGAAAATGAAAACAACAATGTACTTATACAAAAGGAACCAATAAAAGAGAAGAAGAGAAGAAGTTAATGAGAAAAAAGCAATTAACCAAAGATCTTAAACAAACCAAACAAGTAAAATTTACACAACAAAAATATTCGAAAACTTAGTTGCAAAAGAAAAAGGTTCAATTAAAGAACGAGTAACCTTCAAAAGATGCATTTTGTAATCGTTCTGTATGAGAACAGATTTTCTAAGGAAAGTGACCAAGGTGGAAGTAAACAAATACTTCAGTAATGTTGAATTTGTTGCTATTTCACTTTTAACTGAAATTTTAACGTAGAACCCTATATTGTATCCTTTTTTAACATTATCGAATAAATATTTGGTCATGTAAGAGATAGCTATACTAATTTACTTAGGGATTGCACGAGGAGAGAAGTGAAAATAGCTAAAGTACACATTTGCTGGTGGTGGTGCTTTGACTTTATCTTAAAATCCTTTGTTTTTTCCTGTTTTGAATATCTCGCAACCGCTTCCATGAACTGGCTTGCACACTAGATCGCTTGGTGCGAAAATTACATCAACTATAATTTTATTGACAAAACCTCGATATTTGAAATGCAGGCAATGCTATAAATTTTTATTTAGGTACACCAATCTCATTGTAAAAACGAACAAACTTATTGCATCTAAGTATATGGAAACGAAGCACATTTTATCTGTTACTATATTACTGCAGTAAAAAGTAATAATGGCTTATAGCTATATGTACTTATACCACTGACTAAAAACACACTTGTATTCGAACATATTGAGGCAGTAAAACAGTAGACTAAAAGCGTTTCACTCAAGTTTAGGTGCGTGTCGTGCTCACTTTTAAATTTTAAATCAAGAAATACTATGGGTACTATAACTGATGTTCGGAATACTAAAAGACAGACCTGAAAACTAACGCACGAAATAGAAAAATGTGTACGTGCCCTGATTCTTTATTGCACGATCACGGAAGGTGGTGTCGAACAGAGATGTGTTATATTAAAATACATTCGTTTTTCTGTTTCTAAATTTTTATATTCTGGTCTAGTAAAAAGAAATTGCGTAACATTTTCTGGTCAAGGCTAGTTTGAAAGGATGGTTCTGAAAGAAATAATAACGCACCTAAGCAACGTAAATATGATAATCTAAACATTGCAATTTCGATGTCCGAGATTAACTTAAAGCCAAGCAACGACATGAACTGAATTCAAAAGCGTCTGAAAGTTTACAATAGAACTGCAAGTACATTAAGGGAATGTGCGTTTCCTTTATTTAGTTGTGTTCAACTTCATACAAGACAAAATAAACTTGTGCCCCGACATTTTCACTAATCCTTTATTTTTATATAAAAATGATCCCTGAACCCTGATTCCTTTCTTAAATCCGACAGATTTTGTATGTAGTTATTGTCATATTCAGACGTGGTAAACATGAAAATTTAAGAAGGTAGGTATGTACGATGCTACCTATCTAAATCTGTCAGTAACTTTTTTTACTCGTAGCTGATGTAAAGTCTACATGCAGCAGTACTCTTATTAACACGATATTTATTAAAGCATAAATTTCCAAATTAGCGGAAGTTTGCCTGCTACATTATGATAAAAGAAGGTCCCTACATAAAGATGAATTACAACTGCCTACTCTGTTACTTGGGTTTTCTGGAACATAAATTTCCAAATTACTACATAATAAAACGTTATAGTATTGTAAGTTTGTTTTATGAGTTTATTGACAATAGTAGTAAAACAATTTCGTCCTTAAAGTAAATCATAAGGACAGGAATTATGTTGTGGGAAAGGTAGGCTTCCCAACTTTAATTTTATTAAACTAGGTACCTGCCTTTTGTTTGAACATATTTAGCCAAGTAGGTAAATGACTAGGTTTGCAAAATTATAAATTCTCGCCAGTTCATGATTTACTGTAAACGCTTTTTAAGTTACGATGGCTTTTTGCACTGTCAAGTTAGCTATAACTTTAAAATTCAGCTCGAGTTAAAATCTATTTGCGATAGTGGTTACTATATAATTATAGGGGAGCAGGATTTCCTCATAATTTCTTAATTGAAAGATTATTAAAACTCGTGCACACTACTGTACAACTGTGCAATGGGAAACGGTCACGTCTCAAGATACGAGCTAGTTGGGCATCCTGGCTTTTTTCTTCTCTTCTTGATTACCACTGGAAATGCGCTTATTTTTCGCTTTAGATTGTTAAGGCTCGGGAACCTGCAATTGATTTTGAGGGGGTCCTCTGTATGTTAAAAATGCATTAGTTATTCCATGATATCGCAGACAACATGCCTATGATTTTAGGAAAAACTAGATTCATCGCCCTAGGTCCCCACTCGCTACGGAACCCCAAAAAGGGACATCTGAATATAACTCAGGAAGTTGATGCAGGTATGACTTCGCATCAAGTAGGTCATTCAAGAGCGACCCACCTTCTGCTAGTCTGTAATGTTGCCGCCAGCCCTCAGAAAGTCCAATCGGCGATCTAACCAAAGGACACGGTCGATTGGTTGAGGTGGATTAGTCTCGACTCAAGAGAAGTGGACACTTTAATCAAAGGTTACCCATTTAATTTGCCATTAAACAATTATTAAGCTACTATTTCCATAGCAGACTATCATTTAAAGCAAATTAGTGTAGAGTTGGTTGCCTATATCCCTCTGTTCCACGCATTGACGTGGTTTTTAAATGTATGATTTATTAATAGTTCACTTCTGAAGGATATTCCCATTCTTACGTCCATTAACTGAGTTGTAGCAAATTCATAAAATCCATACTTAATGATTGCAGAAATTAATCGGTAGGCAAGAATTTTTAACCATAGTTCTATAATTGCAATTTAGCAACACTGTTAAGAGATATTGCCAGGTAACTTAGCCACTACAAAATAAATGATATTCTGTGGTTATGTCGCCATTAGTGACCGTATCAGTTCGTATTTTGCCCGCCGTATTTCGTTTCCTCATTCGTTTTTCGCAAAATATCAGCCGTCTTCAAAAGCACGTGTAAAATTTCCGTTAAAAATTAGATTTCGGCCGAGTTGTCCGTAGTTTAGATTGTAATTTTCGTATAAGTCGTTAATCGTTTTAAATTGTAAGGTAGGAATTATGCCGTGCCATCGGTGATAACCCGATACGTAGTTTCTTAAACATTTTTTTATTTGTTTTTCCAGAAATAATGTCTCGGCGAACCCCGATAAAAGAACTAATCGCAGAAGAAAGTAGTACACCTTCTAGTCCTGTAAGAAGATCGACTCGAATAGCAGTACGCAGACCGTCAGTGACCGATGAAAATCATGAAGTGGACAAACTAAGCGTATCTTCGACTGGGAGTCAAAGATCTATAAGCACCCGAAGCAGAGCTGCTAGCAAGTCACCACTTACCCTGGCCAACGAAGAGGAGCAGAAGTTGCCTGCAAAACGAACTCGGCGTAGAGGTAAGAAATCTTGCTTATTACTTTTTGAATGTTGTCACAATATAATGCGAAATTAATGTAAACTTATTAAAGACGGGTCTTAAATTTTCCAAATAGGTGACATATGGAAATTGTTGTTAAAAGAATGGTTTCCATTGAAGTTATCAAATAAATAAGTTTCCTGGGTTCAAGAGTTTAAATTCTAAACCTTTTCTTAGATCACCAGTAACTACTGAATTAAACAAAGGAACCTTTTCCCGAATGAACTCCCCTTTCACCTCGCCTTTCACTGTATAACTCATTTTTACAATCAATTGGAAAAGTTTTAACTATAGGCAGTTAAATTAGTATTACAGTACGATGTAGTGTATGACTTTCGAATTTCAAAATTAGGCTACACTCCTCATGGTCGCCTATAAGTACCCTTACAGACTACAGTTTACAGTAATCCAGCACTGGGGATGATATAAACACAATTCTTTGTGGGTTCTCATCTCATTAGAGAATTAATGTGAATTTGTAGATAGACTGGAATAGCTATTTAATCAAAAATCTCTTCAAAAATATTTAAACTCGTTAATCTGAATGTGCATTAATCAGAACACGCTGAAAATGTAGGTATACATCTTATTTGCTAATCCGTGATAACATTTTTTCCATTTTCCAGTAAATTTGTCTGATAGATATTCTCGCACGATTAGGACATTGTGCACAGGTGCACCATCCTGTTGAAATCAACATTTTTCAACTTTTGATTTTTTGTGTCGTACTTCATTGTTTTCGTAATCAAAACATGTGCTGCCCATCGCTGATTCATAATAAAAAATCAAGTAGAAAATGCTATATACGCAGTGTGTACTTTTTCTACTGTCCATTAAAAAAAATAAAGTCGATGATTTCTCCGAAGCGAAACGTTGTATTGAAAATCTCTCAATGGTGTCTTTTAGAGTTCGAAAAGTGACAATGAGAAAGTGTTTTTTTTTTACTTTTCTGTGTCTGCAGGCACAAATAACAACAGAAAAAATAAAAACAAAATCGGCCAATTTCGGTTTTTCTGGCATATCGTCGTAAGTAATCTAAATTTTCTGGTTTCTTTACACAATGATAATAACTGTTTAATTGCGCAACTTTTCCCTAATTGAACCATCTTCGTATCTTGTATGGTTTCCGAGATCCTAACTTGGACAGTATATGCATATAGGGTTGCCATCTCAAAACTCAACTAGGACAGGAAGCGTGAAAACCCCGGATTTAGGGATTATAAACCCGGACATATCAACTGAATTTTATAAAAAAATATTGTCTAAAGAAATAGTCTTTGAAATTCTAGTTTATTTTGATCACTGACTAGACTGTTTCAATATTCAATAATATTATAAAGGAACAAGGGATTAAAAAGAGTTTTTGTTCCTGAGAGAATGGTTTAAATTTAATATTTTTTTAAATATTTTTAAGGGAACAAAAACTAGTTTAATCCAGTGTTGATTATACTATTTTTTCCAATACCGATCGATTTAAATCCATGTTTCCATGAATTGTTTACAAGAAAACAAAAATGAGGGATTAAAATTTTTTTAATCTCTAGGGATTAAAATTACCTGTTAATGTACAGAAATTAGGGATTAAATTCAATAAAACAATGTAGGTATTGGAAAATTCCTTTCTTTGGTCCACTGATATGCCACTAGTGAAAATATTTTTTCAACGTTGGCATTATGAGCAGGAATGCAAAAAAAGCACCTACCAGGCAATTTTCAATAACTCCAAGTTTAATGACGATTCGGTGTTTTAAAAAATTGTAACCAAAGCTGATCGGCGCCTTAAAAGTTCATCTTGTTTTGACAGAAACTCATAGATATCTCAGTAGCCTAAAACCCGGACTACTAATGAAACCCCGCCCGGACGCCCCCTAAACTAGGACAAATCCAGGGAAACCCGGACGGATGGCAACCCTATATGCATAGAGCAAGTATTGGTTTCACCGCAGAGAGCTCAACAGAGAGTCAGTTGTTGGCTTTGTTGTTCCCAAATTGTATAAATTCTTTCAGATGTAGTGCTTGCATTTTGGAAATGAAATGTACAGGGTGTCCCAGGACGAATGTCAGCTATCCAAGACGTCTGAATATTTTGAAATTTTTTTTAATTGGTGGCATTGTTAAACTACTTACTTATATTGAACTACTTTTAGGGGATTTGTTATAAAGGCCTGGAATTTTTTGCTACAGGTGGTCAATACCTTGAAGATGTGCCAGATGGCCGTCAAATGTCGTAAGGGAGCGCCGTCCCCCTACCCCGAAATGCATTAGTTCTCGAGATGTATATCTTTTACACGCAAAATCTCAGAGGAGGTTCTCACAAGAAGCAATTGGAATGTACTAAAGAAACGTATCCATTGGTATTGTCAAAACTTTAGATGCAAATATCTCCAAAACTGAGTATTAAAAGCGGGTACTCTCAAAGGGCGGTTGAAACATTTGGGCAAGAAATATCTACTGTCAATGTGTTAATTTAAATGTGCATTGTATATATTTTCCAGAAAATTTGTGCTATAAGTAATCTTGCACGATTAGACATTGTACCATCCTGTTGAAACCAGCAGTTTTCAACTTTTTTGTGTGTGCCGTACATCATTGTATTCGTAATAAAAAATTCTACTCCATACAGTAGAAAATTGTGGAGCTCAAAATGTGATTTTTGCTTTATCCAAGAGCTTTGCATAATTTAATTTGTTTCTTTATTAGAAGTGTTATTATTTAATCGGGCTTGGTTTGCTTTTAAGGTTATGTTGATATTTTCATCATAAATAAAATTCTGTCCTTTATTTTGAACTTAATCTTTACGCGGGTTCAAACACATAGCTGCTGGAAAGTAAGGGGCATATGCGCAATAGAGTTTTCGAATAGAAATGGTGGTCCAGTACTTTCAGCCATACCCGCAACACAAAATTTAATTTGTAAAATACTTAGTACTAATAAGTTATTAATATTTAAGTAAAAAAAATAAGGATAAATTTGTATAGTCTCCAAAAATTTTCATTTTGGCAATTTAATACAGTATATGCATGATTTAACGGATGACGTTTTCGTTATACAGGGTGGCAAAGTCAATTTTTTGCTCGTATTTTGCGTTTTCTGTGATAATTGTCTCAAATTTGATACATCAATTAATAATTATTTTTTAGAATCTACAATAAAGTATCAAAATAGTTGGTCGCAGTATACACGGAGTGACATTTTCTTGGATCGGCTACAATTTTATCTTTCAGAACTTTTTTTGGAACACCCTGTATTGAATTTCGGCATGAATTGTAAACTCTCTGTTCCTTTGTTTGGCTTGCTGATCTCTTGCACCATTCTCGTATCTGTCACAGTTTTCGATTTACATACAGGGTGATTCCTATAGTACCTGCCACCGTTTGGGAGCGTATAGGGGGTGCTTAGGGGAGTATTTTGATATAGGACACTTGGGGTCGGAAATCTAAAATAAGGGCGCCAGAACCAATTTTATCTTCTGGAATTTCACGCCTGTATGTAGGCAACCCAACCGACCGACGTTTCGCGCGGAGCGATGCAGAGCGAGTTAGCGCGAGGAAGCGACATGGGAGGGAGGAGGGAAAACGACAGTCAAAAGCAATAACGTTTACAAGTGTTCAACGTGGCCACCGTTGTTCTCAATGCACTTCCTACATCTAGCCAACTATTATTATACTATTGCCATAGTTTTTATTCACTTGATACGCGTCGTTGCAGACGGGATTTCGTGGGTTTAAACAAAATTCTGATCAAGTGTCAGCCACACATCGCCGCCTGAGATTGCTCCGTGTGCACCGCCGGCCGGTTGGGTTGCCTACCTACAGGCGCGAAATTCCAGAAGGTAAATTTGGCTCTGGCACCCTTATTTTAGATTTCCGACCCCAAGTGTCCTATATCAAAATACTCCCCTACGCACCACCTACACGCTCCCAAACGGTGGCAGGTACTATAGGAATCACCCTGTATTTGTAAAAATAGCCATTGATGGAAATTATGTGTAAGTAAGTAATTGTAGCCACGTCAAGAAAATGTAACACCCTGTATACTGCGACCAACAATTTCGATACTTTATTGATTCTAAAAAATAATTAATGAATCATTATCGCAGACCATAAGAGAGAAAATACAAATTACGAGAAAAAAATAGAAACTTAAATCGCAATATAATTAATAGATGGCGCCAAATACGACTCTTGTATTTATATATCTATGCTCTAGAAGAACTCATACCGTCGAGTTCAGGCGAAAGGCGAAATAATAGACAGTCAAACGTGTCAATTACGTATGGCCGCGAAAGTTTCTGATATAGTAAAACACTGAAATTCCCTTGGGAACAGGAAAAAACAGGATTTTATGTTTTACAGAGGAAAATACTTGACATTTAGAACGTAGGTTTCTATGGAGGGGTTAAGGTGTACTCTGAAAGTGACTGTCCAAAGTTCCCACGGAAACGGGGTACCGAATGAAAAACGGGATTTCCCAAAGGCGGTACGTAGTTCGCCGAGACTGCTTTATATGAAATATCACAACCACTAAACCGGAACCTCTTAACAGGAAATCGGAAAAAAATTAGCCATTATAATTTGGGAATTTTTTACCAAAAAAAATTAAAATAGTTCAAGGTAGGAATTTTTCAAAACCAGAAAAGATACTCAAAAACTTAGCTAAAGCCGCAAGTGCCATTTCCTTATCTATGAAGTTCTGAGAAAAAATTAAAGAAGATCCTAAAATTTTGGAACTTCTGGAGGCGTAGATACTAAAGGATACATTTTTGACTTTCAGTTTATTTGGAAAAAATGTTCGTTGTTGTCCCCTCTACCATTCAATTGTTTATATTCTTAATTTGTTAGATTTTAGCTTGTTTTTTTTTAGTTTTAAGGGTCTGATCAGTTGATTTTGTTAAACAGTGAACTCAAAAGGGTCGCACAAATGGTTTTACAGTTTTGCCAAACATTGTATTGATTATTTCAAGTAAAAGTGCCTTTAGGACGTTACACATTTTGAGGTAATTTTAGTGTGGCGTTATTTGATCTTATGACTACCACCACCGTGTATATTTTTGCACTTTTTAAGACCTTCATCAATTGTTATTCTTTTTGGAGTCTTGGCAGTAGCCATTCAGAATTTTGAAGGATATAATTCTTTTTAATAGACAGGTGAGACAGTTTTCTTTAAATCTCATGACTTGATTATATACGAGGTGTTAAAAAAATAGGGTGTCGACACTATTTTCTCTAATTTTGAAAATGCAACACTATTTCGTGCAGAAATAAGATTCTGCATCTACTGATATGTGTTGCCTATGTATAGTTTTAAGTAGTTTTTAGGATATTCAACAAAATAATTAAAACGTGGCATATTTTTCTGAAACATTCTGTACAATTAAACATACTTCTACAACATATCCATTTCCCCCCTGTGTGTAGATTTCCTGCAAATGTTATAGCATATCAGATACAACGTAGATATATAGTGTAAAAATACATTGGTGTGTTGTGTCTTGAAATTTGAGTATGTTGTATGTATGAGAATTTGAGTTCTCTAATTCCATTGAGGTAGTGTTCCTATAATTTTCGAGCATTCTGAAAAAACTAAAATTTTGAAGCATTGTTTCCAAATGAAACATTTCTGCTCCTCAATTTGGCCACAAAAAGTTTGCTTTAAACCACTTTACCATCGTGTGTAGGCATTTTAGGGAACTGTTTGAAGGGTTGATTCACCTTGCCTGATTATGATTTTACTTCTGGGTTTGTTTACAAGAATTGTACATTTAGTACTAATACCTGTGTAATGTTTGTCAAAGGGTTTGAAATCTTGGCAATGAGACCATGTCAAAATTTTTCCTGTCTCTTCATTGATTCAGCTAATTTTCACTTTTAAACCCCCTTCATTTTTAAGTTGTAAAATTCTTTTAATGCGTTATTTGCAAAAACCTAAATGTTGTGTGACTTCATAATTTTAAAATCAGATTTGAAATATTCCAAATCCTATAAGAATCTACAAATTCTGTGGCATGTTCATTATTTTGTTGCGTATTAGTTCTAATAGTTCATCACTTTTCAGGATCTACTTCAAGTTTAATCGAGGAAGAATTGGAGACGATGGCCCGGTCCTCGCCTATTCCTCCTAAAATCGGTAGGCGTACTTCAGGTCGCTCAATGAGTTGCTCGCCTATAACAGAAATGGAAAATGTACTAAAAAGCAGTACCCCTCAGAAAGAGGTCAGAGGCAGAAGAAGAACGTCCGCCTTAATTGAACCTGTTACGCTGGAATCTATTAAAGAGGTCGAAACCAAATCACCGAGAACTAGCATTTCAACAGAAGAAACGAGAGATGAAGATTTACCTTTTAAAAAGAAAAAAGCTGTACTACTGCAAACGATTACTGAAAACGTTCCAGATGAGGTTAGTAGGCACACTAAAGTTAATGGTGGTGTGCATTTGGAAGAAAAAAAAGGAAATGCCATTGGAGATTCTGAAGCATCAGTTGTTTCTGGCACAGAAAAGAGTGCCTTGGCTGAAGAAAAAAAACTAGTTATTTTGCTTCATGATATCAGCTCATCAGAGGGAAAAGGAGTTGTTACAGATTTATGTGAAAAATCTGAAGATGAGCTTCACAATACCGATTCTTCAGGTGAAAAAGAAACTGTGTCACATTCAACAGAACAATCTACGGGTGCTAAAGTTCCTAAACGTAAATCACATTCGGGCATGGATACCACCGCAGAGATTGGTGATCCGCTTGAAAAAGAAAATGTTGAGGACGCAGAGAAACGACTATTGAACAGTTTTGAAGATAAACAAGCGGAAATGGTAAACACTGAACAGTCGATAGTTGAAAGTTCTTTTGATGAACCTATGGATGTAGATGTTACTGCAACACCTTCCAAAACCACAGTAAGGGAAAGTATGGATATACAAGAATTCACTCAAGCTGAAAAGGAAGAGGAAATGCATCGCAAACCTGAAAAGGATCCATCAAGTTCAACAGTGGAGAAAGTATCGACTCTTTCGGATGAAGCTGTACTAAACACTTCAAAGGAGTCAACACTGAAATCTCTTAAAGATAGCAGCACAGATCTTCCACCAGATGTGCCAGGCACTCCTAAATCCAAAACCATGTCAAAAGCGATCCCACACGAAAAATCTCTATCGTCATCTTCAAGTAAACATGCATTAGTTGATGAAGAAGATCTCAGTGAAAATATTGTGGAAAGTTCACAAAAAGATTCTCCAAAACGAACTTCTTTAGAGAAAAAATTGGACTCTCCTTCCCATAAGACAAAATTGGACACTCCTAATGCACCAAGTCCTGTCCTAGTAGCAAGTACTATAACTCCTCTGCGAAGAAGTCCACGGTTACTTTCACATTCCGGCATGAAAGATAGTGTTGACATTACAAGCTCACCAGACAAAAACGACCAAGAGAAAGTATCCGAAGATACGGCTTTGCCTTCACGTTCAAGCATTAAGGATAGTATTGACATTGCAAGCTCACCAGTTGAAAACAATCGTGAAACAGTATGCGAAGATATAGCTGCTAGTAAAGACATTTGTGTGAAGAATGTAGTGGAAAATCGGTCTAATACAGACGAAAAGCTTAATAAAACCTTCAATTCCACTATCGATTTGGATTTAGATCCTGCACTAAAAGAAAAAATTTCCACTCTTACTGAAGCATTAGAGATTGATAGCAGTAGTGACGCAGAATCTGTGACACACTATATTGATGACATGGCAGAGGAAGGCGAAGAAGACACCCCATCTGAAGGGAGCAACGATATTATCGATATAGGCGAATCTGTTGGCAGCACTGCATCTGAAATAGACAGCGAAGAGAGCTACGAAGTGGACTCTTTCATTGATGATGATGAAGAAGAGCTTGAATTGCTGTCTGGTGAAGAATATGACTTGGGCCAAGAGAAACCTAAAAAGACTGGTAAATTAAAAAAACGAATAGTACAGATACCAGATAGTTCAGATGAAGAATGCAAGAAAGATGAAGAAGAACAGGTCATCCATATTGCAGATAGTGAGACCGAAGCAAATAAAGCCAAAGAGGATTCCGACATGGAGAATATGTCGACAAGACCGTACTGTGGCCTATCTCCACCTGTAGCCATATCGATTAGAGATTCGCCAGAATGTGACGAGACACTACAAACTAATAGACTTGAAGAGGAAATTTGTACGGCCAATTTAATAAATAAGGAAGACAATTTGGAAAGTTTAGAACACATTAAGGAGCACAAAAAAGATCCTGTTACGCCGGAAAAATCAGTCGTTCAGAAAATAAGTGAAACTACAAATATACAATCTGATCAAACGCTAAACACCCCCAACAACAGCATTTTACATGAAAATGTATCCCTTACAGAAACTAAAAGACGCAGGAAATCGTCAATTAATATAAAAGAGAATGTGACTGTGGCGGAAATAGCAGATGGAAGTGTTAGTGATCGTATTTTGAAGGTAGTTGAAGCCTTTTGCTCCACTGTTAATCAGCCTCATGAAGTATCATCTGGGAATGTTTCTCTCAATCTTTCCTTGGATTATATAGGTACTTCACCTCCACGAGAAAATGATGATGAAACGGTGGGGAGAAAGCGGGTACTTTCTGACAGTGGAGTAGAATTTTATCAGGCCAAAAAAAGACTTTCAAAGGACAGTGGGCGGTTATCGAACAAAAGGAGAAGCAATGATCCATTTGTGGTTGAGACCCAAAATGAAACCCTTCGGTCTCCCTCAAAGAAAACAAAAATCAATAGTGATGAACAGGCGAATGTGTGGGATGTGAGTCTCCCTAATAAACAAAGGAACAGCTTTACAGAATCGTCACCTAAAAAGTTGGGTATACCTCAAATTAGGCCAGAAGAAGAACGTATTAATATACTTGAGGATATAGTTATTCCAGAACCAAAAAGGAGTCCTAAAAAAAAGAAACAATCTTTGAATGTTGAAACCGATGGCGGTACAACTCTCTCTCCCAGGAAGAAGGTAAGCCTGTGTGAAGCGTTTATAGTAACTGAAGAGAACCAGTCTGCTAAGGAGACAAAGATTACTCCCAAAAAGCAACGAAACCTTTCTGATTCTACTAATACTGTACATAGTGATATTCAGTCAATGCAAATCGTAGAAACGAAGCTCAAAAAGAAATCTGGAAAGAAAAAGTCAAGTACAGATGTGAAAAACGACGAGAATATTGCATCCTCACTTGGCACAAACCTAAACCATACTTTTGAATTGTCCGGAAAAGAGGACAATATTGTCTCTCAAAAAGGTCGCAAAAAAAATAAAAAGAGAGAGCTGATCTCTGAATCTGAGAACGTCTTTGCAGAACCATCAACGTCTGCAGAAAACGAAAGTGATGACATTAGAACCAAAAAATCCAAACGGACAAAGTTAGCGGAATCCATAGTAAAAGAAGATACGAAAATAACTAAAAAGAAGAAATCCAACAGTAAGAATACCTTAGAACTTGAAGCACCGAGTCAAAGTCAAAAAAGGCCTAAAAGTAAAGATGGGAAAAAATCCAAGCCTAAACCTGCAAGTGATTCTGAAATGTCGGATGATCTAGATGAACAGTTACATGGTAAGTACAGTAAATTAGAAAAGACTGAAGGTTTGAAATCCAAGAGCAAAAGTAAAAAGAATCCACCTGTCATCTCGGTTGAGTGTATACCAGAAAAGGTTTCATCGAGCGAAGGTAGCTGGAAAATTGAATATTTACCCGCTAACGTTAAACAGGCCTTACAAATATTAGAAGTAAAGAAAGTGAAATCTACCACAGTTTATCGTAAACCAAAATTGCTTCCTAGTTCTAATAATCCACAAGACTCCTGGGATTTAGATGTGTTAAATGTGACCGCGAAGCCAACAACTAGTAAAAAATTACCCGAACATCACCCGAAGGATTTTAAAGGTCGGTCGACGTTCGATTCCAAAAGGGTCAGGCGAATGGAAACAAAAGAATTATTAAAATCTAAGGAAAAACGGAAGGTGTAATTTTTTTACTTGCCTACTATAAGACTTATTGTTTCAGTCGCATTATTATTGTAATTATCGTTTTCTTATTGATCATGTTATAAAGATTTCAATGGTATTCATTAAATTATCTTAAGATTCTACCCTTTGTAACCGCAAGTTTTTTTTTAAATAAATACTGCTACAGTGCTTGTAAATTTTGATAGAATAACCTCACAAGTTTGTATAAGTACGCAATGATAACAGATTTGTTCCAAAATTTTAATTGCTATTGCTTTTGCTTTACAAATGCAAATGTATAGATCTTAAGTTGCATACAATTTTCCTGTGCACCATAGTATTTTGTTTTTCTAAGCAAACTGTCATTGTTATACCTGTATCAAATTTAAAAATTGGTGAACAATGTTCCAAAAATGTTTATTGACGTTGAAATGTATACATGTAATATGCTTACACAATTTTTAGTGTTTTGTCTGTACAAGTACTTTACAATGTATAACGATAAAGTGAACAACTTTTCAACTGGGGGTTTATTAAGAAGTAATTTTATAACATTATGAATTTCACCTTCATATTGATTTATCAATATCGATACTAACTTTTAATTAGTTTAGTACCACATTTCGCTAAATGCCCCAAGAAATTTAAAATTAAAATCGAGTAGGAAATCATACATGGCCTTTTGAAATTTTGTTCCTCGGATGGGGATTAAATTTATTTAGTTGCATTTTTGGTCACAATTTTGGAAAAAGAAGAATTTAGTCAAAGAATTCATTTCTTGCAATTCCTATGATATAAAATGTGGTTTTAAATGCTTTGCATTTGGACAAAAACAGTCATGACTCCATGATATTTCCATTTTCAAAGGCGAAAGGGTTCCTCTGATGATACTTAAATCTCTGTTGATTAGAGGTTTAAAGCGTGTTTGATTCTCTATAATGGTAGAGTGTAGTTAGAATTGAATGTCTTTTTGTGTTGATGCAAGATTTCCAAATTTATTTGAACTGTGGCATTAAACATGATTCCTGACGTTTGTTGCGCCACTGGTAACGAGCAATACCACTAAAAAATTTGAGTCAAAGAGTTGGCATCGTGGTTTATTTATGGTAATATGGTTGGTACAATTGAAATAAATTTTGTCTGTTCATGACAGTGTACTTTTTGAAAATAAAAATTTTCAATTAAACAAATAAAGTAATAAAAATGGTAAGCTATTTTTGAATAATTTAAATTATTTACTATGATTGTTCATATTAATATTTATCTGTACCAATATTATGCCTATGAATTTGAAATGAGGTTATTTCTTTTCTTCCTGCTAGGGACAAAACCATTCTGGTCCGGGTAGTGGAGAAAAGAAAGAAGAGAAGGACAAAAAGAAGAAATATGAACCCCCAATTCCGACACGAGTAGGTAAAAAGAAGCGCAAAACCAAAGGTCCGGATACTGCATTAAAACTGCCAGCAGTCACTCCTCACACTCGATGCAGGCTAAAATTATTAAAACTTGAACGAATTAAAGATTACCTATTAATGGAGGAGGAATTCATAAGGAATCAAGAGCATTTAAAGCCTCAAGAAGAGAAAAATGAAGAAGAAAGGTCTAAGGTTGACGATCTTAGAGGCACACCAATGTCGGTCGGAACCCTGGAAGAGATTATTGACGATAATCATGCTATTGTCTCTACATCCGTAGGAAGTGAACACTACGTTAGCATTTTATCGTTCGTAGATAAAGATCAATTAGAACCAGGTTGCTCTGTACTTTTAAATCATAAGGTCCACGCCGTCGTTGGAGTCTTGGGAGATGATACCGATCCAATGGTCACAGTAATGAAATTGGAGAAGGCGCCGCAAGAAACTTATGCTGATATTGGCGGGTTGGATTCGCAAATTCAAGAAATTAAGGAATCTGTCGAATTACCGCTAACTCATCCAGAATACTACGAAGAAATGGGTAAGTTTAATGTATTGTCTGCGACTTGTCTATATTGTTATTTACAGGTATTAAACCACCAAAAGGTGTAATTTTGTATGGTGCTCCAGGAACGGGTAAAACTTTACTGGCAAAAGCGGTAGCTAATCAAACTTCTGCTACATTTTTGCGAGTGGTGGGATCAGAATTAATTCAGAAATATTTGGTTAGTATAACCGTAGTGTAAAAAATAGAACAGTGAGGAATCATGAGTTGTGTGGTATGCATGTCAAAACTATCATTTGTTAAGGATTATCAGTCAATTGGAATGCAGATACCATCCTGTTGATATATTACTCAACTGTTCAACGTCACTATTCTATTCTTCTCACAGTGGTGTTTTTGTCACATCATAATGGTTGTCTATAGGGGGATGGTCCAAAATTAGTCCGTGAGCTGTTCAGAGTTGCAGAAGAGCATGCGCCTTCAATTGTTTTTATTGATGAGATAGACGCTGTTGGAACAAAACGTTATGATTCGAATTCAGGTGGTGAACGTGAGATCCAGCGTACCATGTTGGAGCTACTGAATCAGTTGGACGGCTTCGATTCACGCGGCGATGTAAAAGTGATTATGGCCACAAATCGTATCGAAACCTTGGATCCAGCTTTGATTCGACCGGGACGGATTGACCGTAAAATCGAGTTTCCTCTGCCAGACGAGAAAACAAAAAAGCGAATTTTTACAATACATACTTCTCGAATGACTTTAGCCGAAGATGTTAATTTGCAAGAGTTAATTATGGCCAAGGATGATTTGTCTGGTGCTGATATCAAAGTAAGATTTACCGCGCTATTTTTGAAAATATGTAACATAAGGTTTTTAGGCTATCTGTACTGAAGCGGGATTGATGGCTTTACGTGAAAGGAGAATGAAGGTCACGAATGAGGACTTTAAGAAATCAAAGGAGAGTGTTTTGTATCGTAAGAAGGAAGGTACGCCAGAGGGTTTATATTTATAATTGTATTTCCTCATTGTATGATTTTATAATAAAATAAATTTGCGTGCTGTTGTTGCGCCATGGTGCAATTCAATAGAACTTTATTTATCGCCGACCGCATCTGTTTCATGGTCCCTATCCATGGTTCATAAAAAGCGTTATTCGCCCGTTAAATAAAAGTTATTCCCATTGAAAACAGAGGGCTTACCAGCTTTTTTTAGATGCTTTTATGAAAAAGTTGTTCCACACAGGACAAGGAACTTCCAATAACTAATTACCATATAGTGAGAATAAATATTGAAGATTCTTGTAAGTGGAATGAGCAACAAGCAAAATCATTCACTCCCGCCCAAAGATAGTGCCTCCAGACAAAGACATGATACAGTGCAGTCCTTCACACACGCCTGTCCTCCATTTGAAGAAAATAAATCATTATACTGAAGACTAAAAGTATCATCTTTTCTTTCCTTGTATTAAAAAGAGCCCTCGCAGCAAACTACATTACATATAGCAAGGGTGGAAAATATATTGGACGAAGATTTGGAGGTGTCTAACCTTATAGGAGAAGGGCGGAAGATTGTTTTTAGTAGCATCAGACATTAACATTTTTTTGAGAATAATGTTAGATTATTTAGTTATTTACTGGAATCTATTTTTTCTGCAGTTTAGTTAAATCTAATTGAAGAACATTTACCTACCCCCTATATTCTATATTTTTATGAGTTATGACAACGAAAAACCATATAGCACCACTAAATTTTTTCTGGCCCTGATGACATTCTAATAACCCCAAGCCGTACCAGTGCTACGTTTACAATGAGTGATGAAAAAACACCATCTATACTTCATTAGTTTAATTTTAATAAACCTATGCTTAAGCTAATTAAGGCTGAGGCTGAGTGATATTAACACATTTTTTTTGTAACTCATCTAGTACGTTATTTGAAATTTGCGCTTGAACATGCTTTACCTCTTGTATGGAACCTTCTAATAAATTACTATCCTTACAAATTATGCACAACCCTTTTCGTGTCTCTGTTAAACTTTCATCGCCACCTACAGAAGTCCCGCTGAAATGAATTTACTATATTAAATTAACCAAATAACAACACATCGCACGTACTTTATTGCACCTTTATATTTTCCTAAATTAAAGCCTATTTGAAATCCATCCTGATACCCTTCATCAAAACTCTTTTGAAACACCTGTTCTTTACCATCAGACACACCTTCCCGATAACCTGCCTAAAATATTGCAGTTCATTGATTTTATTAAGGTTCGGTATTTCTTTACCAATTTTGCAACATTTGCAAATTTATTCCAGGACTGTGAAATTTCGGTTTCATCCAAAGCCATACTTCTCCAGAAATGTATTGCATTTAAAAGTGAGGTTAGAATTTAGTGAAAACAAACCACAAGAAAAATGCAGAAAGAAGATGCAGCCCTAGGAGAGGATAACGTTTTCAATGACGATGTTATAATAGAGTTAGCAAAATCAAAACCGAATGGCATTTCAAATATTGATATTAAAAATGAAATCCCCGATGTGTTGCCCGAAATTTGGACCAAAAGTATCAATAAGTTATTAAAATCTGGGTACGCAACATTCTAGTTATCTTTAGTATTGTACAAGTGTTTCCTTTTACAGAACATTAGAATTATTTAAGGATAAGGGTACTCTTTTGTATAAATACAAGGATCCATCGACAAAAACCGAAGTAAAAGGTTCGGATAATGAAGAGAAAGTGGTCTACAAAATCATAGAAGAAGCTGGTAATAAAGGAATATGGATTCGAGATATAAGATTCAAATCGAACTTAAATATGACGCAACTTAACAAAGTCCTCAAGAGCTTAGAAACAAAGAAGTATATTAAGGCAGTGAAATCCGTTGCAGTAAGTGTGTTTTAGATATAATTTTGGGTATTAATCACGCCGTACTGTTAGGCTAGCAAAAAGAAAGTTTACATGCTGTACAACTTGGAACCGGACAGTTCAGTAACAGGTGGCGCTTGGTACCAAGACCAAGATTTCGAATCAGAATTTGTTGATGTATTAAATCAGCAGTGCTACAGATTTTTAGAAGGGAAACGGGACGCGGCTATCAAATTAGGTGGAGGACCATTGATGTGCAGAAATCGTAGTTATGTTACTGCCACCGATGTGCACAAATTTATTTCTGAATTAGGAATTAGTAAAGTTCAGTTGTCAGTAGACGATATTGAAAGTATTTTGTACACAGTTGTATTAGATAATAAGGCGGAACGAACCGTTAATCCGAATGGTGAGTATTTGTACAGGGCAATAAATCCATTTTTGAAATCCCCCGGTATTGTTCGAACTACGTGCGGAATTTGCCCAATTGTTGAAAGATGTGGTGATGCTGGCCTAATAAATCCTAAATCTTGTAAATATCTCACTGAGTGGTTGAATGATTAAAATATAATGGTCCTGTATGTGTTTTTTTTGTTTCTGTATTAATGCTAGTAGAGCGCATTGTAGCTGTTCACTCTATGCCTATTCAGTAATTTATTTTATTTATTTATTACGGTTGTTACCCCAACATCATTTAAAACAGGAATAAGGAACATCTGCAGGTGAACCAGTTGTAATCTTGGCCATGATCTGCTTAACGACCAGATGGTCCTATAATCTCTTCTCTCACATGTGATCAATCTGACATCAAGTCCCATCTGGTCTTGTGTTTTACCTGGGTATCTTGAGGTATTAGATTAGTTACATTGGGCACTTTCAATTGTTTTGGGACCATGATGGCTAGTTTATTGCCATTTACTTTCCTTTTTGCTCCTGTATAACCCACACAAGTTTAAGGTGGTTGGTAGATGATACTTGCTCTAATAAATGACGATATTCAAGCACCATTCTAGAGATGATTTTGCAGTGGCCAAGTGCCTGAAGCTATCAGTGGATATTCTTATTATTTTGTTCTCAATATTGTCACAGAACTTTAATAGTACGGAGCAATACTTCTACCAATTCAGTTTGAAATATGGTTGAGAATTTGTCTAGTGGTTGGGTGATTTGGAGTTGTTTTTTAAGCAGACGCTCATCTGTAAAGATGGATATATTATAGGTTGGGATCCAACTTCAGAATTCCTTCCTATAATAAATAGAAGAACAAGAAAGTCAGTTTTACTTTCCAGTATGGGAAGACGCAAGCAGTATACATCACACCAACAGGTTAGTACAACAGAGTAGGCGGTTCTATTTTATTCATAAATCGAGCTCGACCAAGCAGCACTTGGGCACACCAAGGACCCATTGTGCCAACCTCCTTTCTTTCGCAACTAGGTTCAGAGTCTGTTCTTCTAAATAAAGGATAGGACCCTGTTTAACCTAAGTTGCCTCACCCTCCCCAGCTCCAGATAGCTGACCAGACCACAAGCTCGGTACCTAGTTTGATCTGCCTCGCCACAGAATCCCAAGCCCAATGTTGTGCAGGTGATAGCTGACCATCCACTTCCTCGTAAGGACACCGACCCAGATTTGCAATGGGACCCGTTAAGAAGGCCCTAGGGCAAGGACTGTCTGATTCATTCTGCCTTTTTATGGCCCCCTATTCTGCTGCACGCCTAACTGTCATTGCATATGTATGCTTATTATGCTCTACGGAGGTTCTGTGCACAGATTATGATGACCCCTCACCCCGGCAGACATTCCACTCTCCAGCTATATCTGCCGCATGGAAGCTTCAGCTATAGTGTTCTCACTGGGGTCCAGACCTTATTTCAAAAGGATCTTATGAAGAAGGTCCTCCATGATTTTCGTTTAAACCATCCAATATCTTAAGATATTCTGTTTCAAACCAGCAATGGCATTGACAGCTTGTTGACCGTTCTCCAGTGATGGATGTTCGTCTTCATCAAGTTACACTATATTACCATATGTTGGGAGCCTAAACATATAACAAATATAAAAACAGTAGTTCAGCTTCAGTTGATTTGCTATAAATAATGACTACTGGGTGCAGTCAACGACACAACCTTGTATGATGTGTTGCGTATAAGATGAATTGCGTCAAAATCGAACATTAGTAGGTATAAAGTACCGGGTAGTAGACCAAACCTACGCGCTATCGTTACTACCACTACCTGTCATGCGCGGTAAAGAAGTGGCTGTCAGTGAATAAAAACCGATTTGTATGTATGTTTAATTAGAGTGGAGTTGCTTAAATTTTACGTGAGTGGCTTAATTCCACGAATGTCCAAATTTAAGTATGTTCTGTGTGAATAATTAGTTTCTTAAGTTGCATTTTATGTGGTTGTTACCTCTCAACTACGCGTTGTAATTGACGTTTACATCAAATTAATTTTTCCCTCCAAAGTTGAATGCATGGTAAGATGCCCCTGCTGAAGGACAAGCGATTTGAAAAGGCTTCTCTTCCAAATGGTCTTCTTCAAGATGAAGATGTATTCCATTGTGTCATCACAAATGAAATATTTCGTGATTATGAGTAAGTTTTTCCCAGTTTTCGATTTCTGTGCGCAATTTTTTAGATGTATCAATTCCTTGGTTATGACCTAACGGTTTTACTTTAAAACGCAATACGTAGTATTTACTAATTTACGTGTACCAAAAATTGTAATTATAAATGGGTCTTATTTTAACCACTTGAGGTTATGTTTTTAATACTTTTATATTTTTAGCGAGTTTTGTCAAAGAATAATATTATGCAACTCGATGGTATGGACCTGCGAGTATACCGGAAAAACTGGCCTTACGTACTTAGAAGCCTTAGAAAGTGAAAAGCAGGTACAAGAATTGTTAAAAGAGTTGTCAACGGAATTACGCGTCGCTGTATTGTTCCTTGCAAGTAAAACCCACCGAAATTCATTAACTGAAATGGTTGACGACCTATACTCGTTCATGAGAGATCGATTTTTTATAGGAGAAAATGTGAATGCATCATTTGCAAATAATAAATGGAAGGAATCGCACATACTACAAGTGATAGCTCCCTCGGAGAAACAACTGAAAGATTCGCAAAAGAATGGGTAAAGGAAAAGACTATACTCTCCTATAGACAGCTAATTAAGATACATTAATTTATTTGGTACAAATTACTGCAGGTGTCACAAAATTAGTTTTCAAATGAACCTTTGCTGAAGTTTCCTAGTGTAGTCTCGCATTTTGAATGATTATTTTTATTTTTAAATTTTCATAAACTAAGTTTATGTCTATGAAATTTCGTGCTATCTCTGCTAATTGATAGCTGCTACTCATCATTTGCAGTTGTGTTACACGGAAATACCCACGAGAAGGTTTTGAGACATTCTTTTAATAAAGACATGTTTTTTTCAACCCTGGTTGGAAGTCAGAAAAGGAAATTGGTGTGCAGGTGCAACCTTGAAAGTGTTCATATATTTGGTCCGTGTAATTAAAGAGTAATGATGACTAACAAACATTTTGGAATGTGAATGGTATGCAGGTGTAATTTCCATATTGAATTGAAGATGAATATTAGGTTAAATAGGTAATGTGTACTTTCGGGATACTTTAATGGTTTTTGAAGTAATATCGTATAATATGAATACCAAATTGTTACATAGTTTATCAATATTTGCTTCAGAACGGCTAACCATATACTAAAAAGTTTCTTCTGTTCCCATAGTTATCCATCATTTTGAGAAATGTACGTATGAAAAATGTACTATTAACGTCCGCACATGTGCGTGGAAGTGTAGCAACTTTTTATTATTAGGTTTTTTGTACTATTTGAAAATAACATATTGTTAATCCCTTTTTGTTTGTAGTTTTACTTGGTTTGTATAAGTTGTTGTTCCCTTTTTCTGTATTGTTTGTTGAAGATATGGAACTAGATCTTGTGGGTCCCTTAATATCACTCAAGCCATCCCACCCGCGAAATGAGCCTAAGGATGCTGGAAGGAGAGGTGGTTCTAATCGTAGCCATGTCCGGCTAGGATACCCCCAACATGTATCTACTAAATCCATGCGGTGCATATGCTTGTTTAACTTATATTGCTCAGTCACCTGTCATTGAAATTTCAAAAAATATATTAATAAATAAGAGCATGCGCACTTTAATCGTCAAGATTTTTCTTGTGTCAGGGTCCAGAGCTATAAGCTACCAATTTAAAAAAAGAACAATCTAAATCTATTGACAACTGTAGGAGTAGTTAAGGTCTCGGACGGACAGAGCAAGTGGCCATAATAGCGCCTTCCAACGAGAGTTAGAAAATGCGCAAAAAATCTACAGAGGATAGGGTACTGCAAATAAATCACAGTAAGGAAAAGAGCTGAGGAAAAATTGCAACTAGTTTTGGCGAAATTAAAAAAAACGATAGGAATTGTCAAATGGTTTTCAAGAAATTAAAGAAATCCATAGGACAATGCAAAGGATATCTGGAAATATTTGTTCCAAAAAGATAACAGGTAAGGCATGTTTGTGAAGGTATGGATAACATCCCCATAAAGGCGTCAACCCTTCACAAACCTGCCTTAGCCTGTTGTAACAAACATTTTTTTTAATTGTAGACATGTTGTTTTTGAAAAATTGGAGCCCCTAAATGAAACATCACATATAATTTCGCATGTACGTAAATTGTAATCGAACCATATAAATTGCAAAGGAATTCACTGACTTGCCAGTAACTAGGAACTGTATTTGACAGAATTGCTAAAAGTTTGCCTTTAAAAATAATAGAAAATAATTCTTTCAATACAAAGACTACAAAAGCTACCTTCATCAGTGATGCTTATTGCAATAATCAAATACATACTGCAAGTGGTTATATCAGTATTTATCTGTCTACCTTAAGGAGCTGTCTATAGGAGATTGAAGGTGATTAATTTAGGACATTAACTACGTCCATTCCACAGGCATGCCAATGAAAAATATTATCCTCCATCTTCATTGTACAGCTACGAAGTGGAACAGCTAGATGCCGAAGACGAAGATAGTTCACACATTATGGTCGTTAATGCGTCACAAATTAAACGAAAACGCAAATTAACGCGTGATAAATTAAAGTTTTTTCTAAAGCAATACATTACCCAAAGTGATAATTTTATATATGTGATAAAAGAAAAAGTATTACGGTCCTTCGGTATACCCTCGATGAATTTCAGTAAGATCTTCGACGGGCCCCTTCCGAATTTCGGCATCTCGAAGCAGAAGAAAAAGAAACAGAAATTTATAACCGAATTTTTAGTCGATAACCAGAATGGGATGGTACTGGAGAAGTTGGCAAAATTAAGGCGACAAGAGGAGGAAAAGATGGCGGAGAAAATGAAACTTAAGGAAGAGAATTTAAAAATTTCTAGCCTTCTGAAAGAGTGGTATATGCCTAAGGAGGATTTAGAATTGGAAGATCACAAGGTAGGTGTAATTGGTTTTTGTATTTGTTTTAAGTTTTGAACTTTAGGTATTACCTGTGCCCGCACCTGTACAGTCGAAAGTACCCGAGCAATATATTGGGGATATAATAGCCATAATCGAATTTGCTCATACGTTAGCAAAATTTGTTCATCCAAAGATGTACTTTCCTAATGATTTAACTTTCGATTTAATGGAAAGAGCTCTGACACAAAGAGAGGTATCTGGGCCTCTCTCTGACGTAATTCAGATGTTGCTGTCTGCTGTTTTTGATTTACAGTACATTGAAAAGCCTCAAGTATACTCGAGGATTGATTGCTCTGGTGGTAAGTTTAATTTAGAACCTGTTTTAAGTTAATCGTAGCTTGGGACCACTACATCGCATAGATCAAGGGTGGCCAATTAATGTAGCCTGTGGGGGATAAATGAACTGAAGAATGTTATAGAAACTGATTGTTGTTCCCGTTTAACAGACGCCTATTTAACTCCCTGTTTGCACATCACAGTTACCCCCTTCAACCCCCCCCCCCTCCCAAATCAAAATATACTATGTGTTCTGTTGTATTTTAAAAGTTCATTATCTCTGTATTTAATTTTATTGTGTATACACAAAACGCGGTTATAAATAAGGGGCGTAATTAAGTAATCTCTCTCGTGTGATAATAACTGGCAGTTTATACTTTTTCTAACAATTGTAATAATAATAATATTTATTAGTGATTTTGCTAAAAAAAAAAATCTTAACACAAGTCAAAACAAATGGTTATACATGCACATAAATACAATAAGCAATTTTTAATAGTGTTTAGTTTTTGCACGTAATTGGGAATGTGATTGTAGAGAATTGTGCCTTTAAATGTCGTGATGTAAATGAATGATTCTAAGTAATGTTTACTACTTTTTAGATGAAAAGGTGAAAGATGTTAATGGTAATATCAGTTTATCCGAAGCAACACATTTGGCAGCAAAGGCAGCAGTATGGAGCCAAGAATATCTAGGATACCCTCTTGAAAAGCTACCTTTGTTCCCTCTCACAACAACTGAAATTTTGCGGATGCATTTATTATCGTCGGGCGCGCGTTTAACATACTACGGCACAAAAATGAGAGTTGAAGGTAGAGGCGGTTATGTGAGTGAAGATGATCCCGCGCTTCACTTACGTCTAAAATACCCACACATAATTAAAGCTCTAGCTCTACACAATGTTAATAATTTACCGATCAGCGATAAGTTAAAAATTATTCATTGCTTAATGGATCAAATTTTGACTTACGCGGACGTGCGCGATCACATCGAGGATACTTTGGAGAAAGTCAGACAAGCAAAGTATGACTTAAAACTGCAGTCCTCCGTGGAGCGTAAACTAGAGCAGGAATATAATGCTGACAAAGCTAAAATAATGGCCTCTGACAATAATGTAAAATGGAATCTAGAAAAGTTAGAGAAAGAGTATGATAAGAAAAGGTATCAGCACGCGAAAGAATTAGCAAGCTTACAGAAAATGGCCAAGAACCAGACGTTTTTAGGTCAAGATCGGGCTTTCAGGAAGTAAATATTTTATTAGCTTTTGCCTCTTATTTACATTTGGAACTATTTTAAAGTTACTTAATTATTGTTATTTGAGCCTTCCACATGAAAGATGAAGTCATTATTGTATTTAAAATTTTTAGATATACTGGTATGGAAAAAAATTATTGCGGGTCTGAATTATACTAAGCCAGAAAGTCAATAAGCATTATATGAGTGTGAAAGAGACGAGGAAAGAGACAGCTTTACCAATGTTGAACTTGACAGTAGCAATTAAATGTGTCATTGATAACCCCTACTCAAAAGACTCATGAATGGCAACAGCACTTTGAGTTTGTTGTGTATTCTATCTCACTTCACACTTATATTATGCTTATTGGGTTTCATATTAGCATATTCTAAGGCAGACCCTCAAGAAAATGGTTAGTTGACAATAACCTTTTATTTCTGCATGTTTTTTTTTAATTAAAATTCGATTGCTATTTAAATTGAAAATATAAAATTGCACTATACATTTTTCGTGCAAATAAAATATAACTTTTCTGAAACTGAAATTTCAAAAAATTGTTTTTGAACAGGTATTTCAAGATTCATTCCATTCCCGCTGTCTGTGTGAGTATGGAAGATGACTCTGGAGTTTGCTTGGATGAATATGTAAAACAAATTCCACATTTAGTTGGCGCAGACAGAGCAACAATCTTGATGCATGTGCGCAAACTTTACGACAATAGTAGCGATAAAGAAAATGTTGAAAACAAAGATGTTGAAAATAGAAGTGAAGCCGAAAACAAAGCAGTCGAAGGTAGTGGTGGTAATGAGCCAAAAGTAAACGGTATACACCATCCCATAACTGATGAAGCGACATCTCTCTTAATATGTAGTGCAGATCCGGCAAAGTGTCCAGTACATTCCCAAAGTATGAAACAGAAGTGGTCATTTTTTTATGAAGATAAGCAAATTAATGAACTTATTGCGTCGTTAAACGAGCGTGGCATAAGGGAGTCTGAATTGAAACAAGCAGTCATTAGTGACAAAGAGGATTTGATTTCCTTTGTTAGCCAAACGCCAATTGCTAATCTAAATCCCTACATCCAAACTGATGCTGAAAGTAGGTTAAGACCCAGGAGGCAGGGTGGTAAATCCAAATATGATGATGCTAATTTTGGATTTGAGGGTGATACTGATCTGCTAACTGTTTTGCAATCTGTTCTCATTGATAAGGTGTTGGTAATGGAGACTAATATCTCTTCCGGTACTATAGGCTCATTGCAAGTGGAAGACCGTAATAAATGGAGAGAGATGTTAATCAATAAAGATTTTGACTCCTTTATCCACACCTACCAAACACGACTGTCAAAAGAGGCTCACAACCGAAAAAATGGTAGTTCAAGATCTGCTTACTCAAATGATGTTATGGAAGTAATCAAAGAGTACAAAGACCATGGCCAGTTTCTAAGTTCTATTCAAACTAATTGTGAAGATAATGGTATTGATTACAGTACATTACTAAATATAAGTAAAGAGCACACTAGTGCAATTCAAGCACTTTCTATTGCACTTGTACAAATAGGTCGTGGAATGGAGGATCAGTATCTCAAGAAACCTTTAGGTGAGATTCTCTTTTAGGTAACCGGTGGCTAAGATACAGGTTTTCTGTTATTTTAGGAAATACGCACCAGAGAAGTGATAAAGGCGTTAAAGGCGGATTATTAAAAAAATGGGAACAATCTCTCTTGTCCGCCTCTAGCTATGATCAAATATTCTTGCATTATGAAGTACTTAACAAGTGCATATTCTGGACTCGGTCTGCTCTGGTAACTAAATGTCAAGTCTGTCGAAAGCAGGCCAATGCAGAAAGCATGATATTGTGTGATTCGTGTAACAAGGGGCAGCATCTGTTTTGCTTTAAACCAAAGCTTACGGTAATCAAGTTCTATATTTTGACTGTTAATCACTTTGTTTATATCTAGGCTGTACCCAAAGATAGTTGGTATTGCAAAGATTGTGAAAAAGAAATGGATAAAGAGGCAAAACTGGAGGAGAAGGTGCCCAGATGGAAAAAAATTATAGATCTTGATACTCCAGAAGATTGGGAAGGTGATGTGGAGTGTATAGAGGATGATTGTGTGGATCTTGTGGACGATGATGATCTAGACATTGTAGAGGATGACGAGGTTGTTGAAGTGTTACCAACCAAAGATACGGACGAGGAAGAAAACAACACAGAGTCGGATGAAGAAGAGGAATCTAACAATGATGATCCGACTTATAAAGTAGTATACACCGACTTGACCGCTTTGGACTTGTCTGAAAATGAAAGTGAAGAAAGTATCGATGAAAATGACACTTGCAGTAAATGTAGGACGGGCGGGACTTTGCTGTGTTGTGACAATTGTCCCGACATGTTTCATGTCGAGTGTGCTGAACCTCCTTTACGACGAGTGCCTCGCGGGAAATGGTTTTGTCATAACTGCAAACTACACTTATCAGGTACCTTTGTTTGTCTTTTCTTTTGCATTGGTGAGGACTTTTGACAAAAAATGAAAATGATTTGTTAATTTGTCTCTCTTATATGTAGATGACGCGCAGCGCTCTGGAAACATAAGTAACCAGCGGCGCTGTGCTGCAAGAGCGCGCGATAAGATCCATGGCTTCGCTAGAAGTCTGCGCAGGATATCTGAAACTGAATCTGAGGGTGGGTTTAAACCCTTCACCTGTAAAGGCATCATTCATGTGTTGTTTTCTATAATAAATAGTTATCAATTAGTCAGATTTGCTACTAATGACAGGCATGCTTTGTTGTATTCATTTATTTTTTATTTTGTCGCCTTTAACTCGATAGAATAGAATATGCAAAAATTTTGTTGCGGAATGTTTTCTATTAGTCTGTCAGCAGGCGATGTTTGAAGTATTTGGCTGTGATATGTGTTTTGCTGGCATGTTTTACTTGGCATCGTTTGTTTTTATCAGTATATCCCATTAGTGCCTTATTAGACGAGGACACCGATATATGATATGGGCAGCCAGTTACGCCACGGGCGGCATAGGCAGAGATTATTTATCAATACCTAGTGACAATTCTTAGCGACTGGTGCTGTTTAGTCTGGTAATGGCAGGTGGGGCGGACACCAAACTCTAGTGACGGCACCAGTAACTAGTCAGACCACCTGTGGCGTCGCCAGGTGCCGTCGTGTAATAAAGCGCTTAATGTCATGCACTATAGCACAGTGTAATGAATAAGATAGTGAGCCAACCTGCTTCCACTTTCGAGCAGCAGCAAATATAGATGTGGACAGGACGTTTTTAATTTTTGCTCGTTATATTAGTGCTGCCAAAATAAATGTGCGATTGATGAAAACAAAACAACACAGAACATATTTCCACAATAAATCTCATAACAAGAGTTAGTTTGGTGGTTTATGCACTCCGCATTGTTCTTATTTAAATGAACACATATACTCTAAAGGTTGCTATATGCCCTCATGGTATTCTAAAGAAAGGTCTCATCGAAATAAATTGCTTTCTAAAAATTATAACTTTCCTGTGTGAGTCCTTTTCGTGATCAGTAGTTTGGGGGGTGGGGGTCTTTCATGGTAGAACATTTAATTTCAATCTCTTTTATATTTATGAAGGCCGTTGGAGCTAAAAATAAAGGGATATTATTATTATTTCAAGACCGGATTGTTGGAGGAGGGTACTTACAAAGGGCGATTGGGGACATATGGAAGAAATATATCCCTCTGTGATGTCAAAAATTGCAGTGCGAATATCTCGAGAGTGGAATGTCTGAGAAGAGTACTCACAAAGGGCTATTGAAGCATCTGGACTAGGCGTATCTAATGGTAGGGTCAAAACTTTCAGTGCGAATATGTTGAGAACGGAGTGTCGGAAGATGTTACCCCCAAAGGGCGATTGGGGTGTAGGGGTATTAAAAAAATGCTCTTTATCTGCATAAGAGCTTGTGCACAATTTGTACTTGTTTGTAATTGGCTGGGAAAAGATCATTCTTTTGTCATAGAGTATCTTTTTATACTGTATTCATTTTAAGAAGGTAGCGGTAGAAAGCATAGGGAGGCTTTGACCTTCACTGTGATTGGTTAAAACACGAGTCAGTATTACAATGAAACATAAAACGACTGGTGAATTTTGTAAAGTGGTAGTTTATGTTGCCAACTAAACTGCCGAAGTGTCATTAGTTGATATTGTCAAAGATTTATTTCTGTTCGCAGTGCTGAATATTTCTACTTTACAATAATTTGGTGCCGTTTTATATTTTTCCTGTGTTTGTTTATCTTCAAACACAGCGCCATCTACTACCTTCTTATAATGAATGCAGTATAGTTTAAAACTGATCTAGATTTGAATAAATAAGATTTGAAATCTGTGCAATTTGTGTAAAGGTGAGAATTTCCGCACCCCTTTCCACATTGTTGCATCATGATGTCCAAATTAGGTTTTGTTTATAGCTGTAAAGTCTCACTATCTTATGATCTGTGTGTCTGTGATATGCTTTTTACATTCACAATTAGTCAGTCATTCACAGTTGTGAATCTTTAATTGCAGTTTTTAAAATCTATTGAAATCCATTTAATAATTAAATTCTCATGTTTCCTGTGTATTGCAACAGCATAAACGTACTCCGTTTTGATGTGGAGGTCTGAAGCATCGGTAAAAAAAGATAAACGTTCCGCAATTTGTATTGTAAAATTCAGCTCGTCGATTAAATTAAAGTAATATTTTATCATTATTTTTTACAATCCAGGTAGCACAAGCGGTAGTGAGAATGGTTCTACCAGAAGATCGAAACGTCGTGAAACAGACCGCCGGGACGATTTACCATTGCATAATGCGCCACTACAAGAAGTCTTGGCAGATGTACTAAAACAAGAATACGCATGGCCGTTTATTCGGCCTGTAGTGAAAAATGAGGTACATATCGAATAGACAATACACAACACATTTCAAACAAAATTGTAGTAAAAAAGCAAGATGCCTACCCACTTGCATGCACACATCCAATTTTGGGTAACTCTTTTAGCTCTAGTTTAAATGTATTCCAAATCGAAAAATTTCGTCTCCCTAATTTTGATTTTATAGGTGCCTGATTACTATGATATAATAACAAAACCCATGGATTTTGGTACAATTAAATATAAACTAAATATGGGGGAATATAAATGTGATGCTGATTTAATGGACGACGCAGCTCTCGTTTTCGACAATTGTAACACGTATAATAGTGCTGATGATGAGGTTTATCAGTAAGAATTCACTTTTGATTAGATTGGCCTCATTAGCTGATTTCTTTCTTTTTAGTTGTGGAGTTAAATTGTTGAAGTATTTTGTAAATAAGTGCCACGAACATGGTTTGAAAGTTAATCCGAAAATGGAAAATGAAATTAACTCACCTTCAAAACCTAAAAGATTGCGCATTGATTATTAGTATTATTAGTTTAGGCGTGTATAGTAAATTATTTTCATAGTAGCTGTAACTTTACTGTAGCTTGTTCTATTTTTTTATTGTACATTTTTTATTAACCAGTTTCCCTTATATTTTAATTTTTGCCTGTTTATTATATTAGAATGTCACAATTTCAAAACTACTTTAGTGATAAAACTGTTGTATTTTATTTATACAAAATAAAACTATTTAAATATAATAACACTGTTTCCAATCACTTTTAAATTTATTTTGCATACCTTATGAGTTTTAAGTGGCATAGAGATAAATAAACTACAGAATGCTCGTGGTTATAAAAAAGTAATGTGGTGTAGTCAATTGACAAATTGAAAAACGTATATTCTAAAGATTTTTCCACAATCGGTCAATATATCATAAATAGAACCTAATATCGGGAAGTTCAATAGGAAAGATGAATACAGATGCAAAAGGAGTACGATAATAATAATGTATGTCTGTGTTTTGCATTAAAACTAAAAAAAACGTCCGAACATGTCAAGCAATCACTTATCCTAAATATTAACCGCGCGCTAAGCTAATTGCATGGGATCATTATAGTAGGCCCTGACTTAGGCGCCCACGTTGCTTGTAGGCAAACAAATTCAAATTTTCGTCACTTTTCGATCATCATTTATCTCTCTCTTTCCTTCTCTAAGCTAAAAATATATTTTAAAAAAAGTTGTCGGCACATTTTTTATGCCTTAAATGCACACTGCCAAAATTTTAATAAAATCAAAACTGTTTTTGAATGATTTAAATTTGACATTTTTTTTCTCCGTTTTCTTGTGATAAAACCTAGTGCAATTTTTAAAATTCGTACAGAGAAAAAGAAAGTCTTTCGAATAATTTAAACAAAATGTTGCGTGGTTACTTGAAAAAAAAGTTGTCACGACGCTAAAAACTCAGATATAAAAAAAATCGTTTTTGGACAGCTTTACATCCTTTATACCTAATGTACAGGGTCGTTCAAATTCGTGGGCGAGCTAAGAACTTGAATGAATGAATTTCACTTAAAAATCTGCAAGAATAACTCAACGTTTAATTGTTTACAAACCGCTAAGGCGCTACCACCTATACATGCTATTTGTAAAGTACACCAGTGCCTCAAGTGTTAATCTGAATCGCGAATAAGATTTTAATTTTAGTTCAGTTTTCTTTTTCGGCGACTACGGTAATTTCCGCCTAACTCTGTTCCTATTCCTTTCATTTTGGATTTTCTACCTTGTTTATGGGTATAAACCGAAAGGTACACACCATAATCTAACCTTAGAAATACTTACTTTACCTAATTATTAACGTGCATATCCTGCTGAACCAACCTCCTATGCCAAATGGGACTGCTTGACCAAAACAATCAGGGGTGGTGGTGGGCCAAGCGATTTGTAGTATATTTACATTAGTAGTTTTGTAATCTCCTCCCCCTCCCTAAGAGGGCTTGCGCAGTACGGTCGTAGGGTAATGTTGAACACATTGTACTTAAAGACAATTTTTTAATTTGTTAACGTTACAGAAGAATATCATTTATCTTACTGCTGCATTTAAATTACTTCTTACCATTTGTCGGTTTTTCTGTGTCTTCATACAAACTATCAATATCCTCAGATGGATAAGGCGCACTTAGAGTACCATAAGTATCCGCCAGATATTTAAGATCCTCTATACATTTATTCACAGATTTCTGTTGAATTTCCTGTGTCACTGCATTTCGTACTTGTTCCACCACCCAATCGGCCATGCATCGTTTTGCAATTGCTTGTTCAACTATATCGCGCGTCGCACAATACTCTAATCGCTTTACAGTTTCCTGGTAGGCGAACATGCATCGTGCACGATAGGCGGCCTCCCTCTGTAGGTCAACGTTCTCGCGTTTTGCCGCAGCTAGCATTAGGAAACCTTCCGAGCTGTGTTGAAGTTTTTTTTCATGCTGTATTGCATTTTCGTATAGCTCTGTCGTCTCTTTGCGGTGGCCAGTTAGGGATCGTTCATATTCGTCTATCTCAGAGTCTAAAAATTTAGCTATGCCGGGACCGATCTTCTTACTGGCCATTACGCACATAAGAAGCATAGAAAGGCCGTTATAATATTCATGCTCCAAGATATAGTATTCTTTGCTCATTAATGTAATTCCAACTGTGAAGCAAAATGTTCCAAATCCACTAACACCGGTACGTTTGAAAAATAGCTCAAACCATTCATTTGGTATAAAACCACAACGAACATCTCCAGGCTCTTGGCGTAGAAGTCTATCGGTTTTGCTGTCTTTTCCATTTTTAGCTGGAGGGCATATTGGCTTACAAACTGGTGGTGGATCACAACCAGGTACTGTTGCAAAACAATGCGACCACTTAATTACTCTATTACGAAGAAAATTAAACTGTACCATCATTTTTGATTACCTGAATTACTGCGCGTCAATCATTCACTTAAGTTAAGAAGGCGCAAGGTGGCGCTTTACAACGTGACGTTTTTAAACTTTTAAATTCAGATAAAATGACTATAGTGCGTTATTCGGCAATCGGTCTGAGGCCCATCGCACATTAAAAGCGACTAACTAAAACTGAAATTGCCGCCAGTGAATATTTTACGTTGGGGTGTATTAACACTTCGGTGTAAACGTGCCTTTTACGTAACACGCCTTGTGTAATGGAGCAATGCGTGGGCCGTGCCAGGCCGTGCCGTATGTCTAGCTACATTCTTATTTAAGTTTCGCGCTTTTATTTGGATGAATTTAAATTATTTTTAATAATGGACAAAAGTCTTTATAACAAAGTAATGAACGTTATCAAAAGCTATCACGGACTTTCGAAGGACTGCCTAACTCTTTGTAAAACTACATTCCCAAGGTACGTAACCTAACCTCAACTGTAAAAAATATTAAATTGCCTTTTTAGTATTAGTCCGGACGCACTGAGCAGCATTATAAGTAATGAATACCAAAAACGAATGAAATACAATTACATAAAAACATCAGATACCATAAACGGATATTACAATTTATATCAAGACCGATTAAATCACTGTGATCCACCCGGAATCATTGTGCAGTTGTCTAGGGAGAGTGGTATATGTCCTTGTTTGGTCGCTAAATTAATATTACAAAAATTTTACGGAGAGGACTCTTCAACACCTGACAGTGTAGGAAAATTAAGTAGCATAGTACAAACTTACATGCGAGACACAAATTTAATCCCCGACCCTCGATTGGCCTATGAAACATATTTGGTATGACTGTATACTGAAATACAACTATCTTTTTGTTTTTACAATTTTAGTGTACGATATATGATGATTTATACAGTCCACTTGTGGAGATCATGAAGGCGCAAGTGTTACATAAATTGCAGTTTCCTGTTTAATGAATCGAACTTTTAGGAGTTTAGGGCAGGAATATGAAATTAAGTTGTATAGGGAGCTTTTAAGTTTAGGTTTAGCATTCAGAGATGAGGAACATCTCAGGACATACGGGTATGATAAAACTCCTGATTTTAAATTGGAGATACCAGTCGCTGTAAATGGGTTTATTATTAATTGGGTGGAAAGCAAAGCTCTTTTTGCTAATGAGGAAGTGCACGAAGAGTACTTTCGGCATCAGTATGGAAGTTATTGCAACAGGTAGGTGACAAGTGTTTCAACAATTAATGATAATCATTCTATGAATATGTGTACCTACCGTTTGATTGGATCACCTAACGTATGTGTATCAATGGTTAATGGTATATTTTATATTAGATTTAATCTTTGAATGTTATATAGTGTGTTGTGTCTAATAGGTTTCACTGTAATGCAATGTAGATAGTGACTATAATGGTCACTAGGAGAGAATCCAGGTCATAGAACACCTGATTCCGGCCTCTAATCGATTGTTTTTCATATTAAACAATTCAACTGGAAATGTTGCCTAGCAACATCAACTGACATCCATCTAGACTTGTATAATAAAGTGTCAAACTGCTGTCAGAGCGTATCATACGTTGCATAACTTTTACATACGACAACCGATTGGTCTCAGATTTTGCCTACGCATGCCTTTAGTTGTGCCAAGTTAAACTTTTGATCGGGCGGGAGGGAGGGGGGTTAACACACGTTCTACCCCTCATGGTATTCTAATGAAAGGCTTCATCTAAATAAATTGGTGTACACATGCCAAGTTAAACTTTGGGGGGGGGGGTTAACACACGTTCTACCCTTCATGGTATTCTAATGAAAGGTCTCATCGAACCTTTCTGGATATAGAAACGTAAATAACAACATTTAATAGACAAACTCAAATTAGTTTTTTTATAATTAATTTTATAATTTCACTAGTTTGCATTGAAATAAAAGTTATTGTTTTGTTACTTAAGTCAAAGCAATTTATTGTATCAAAAATCATTAACAAGTAAGTAAGTAAATCTACATAGTTAAAAATTATTTACAGTGGCGTGCGTCATTCAGAACTAAGAGGGTCACTTTATTTTATGGAAAGCATTTCTCGATGCATTATTAAAGAATGAGCTTTTTTTAATATGACACTGACCACAAAGATTTTAAGCTAAACGGACCCATTCACTGCGCATGCAAAAACGTTATAATTGACCCCTGCTGCAACTATTTTAGAATATGAACTCATTCAGTGCTGATGTAGTATGTGCCAAGTGCCAAATGGTCTAGTGGCAATGGTACTAAATGCAGCCCCAATTCAGCGTAGTTGGTTATTAGGTTATTTGTAGGTTGAAGGTTTTCTTAATTTTTTTAAAAGCAAAAAGCGTCACACATGCGCAGTGTGCGGAACGAAGGGGCCCATTTAGACGATTGTAATTTAAAGTACGTAGATTGGTAGTAAACTTTTTATAATTTTGGATACCATACAAAGCTTCTTTGCATAAAGTGTAGTTTTGAAGACATATTAAGTGTTCCAGACTCTAATCCAAGCGCGAGCACACACTAGCGCACAAACTATTAAAATAATTTTTCAAAATGCTCAAATTCGCAAAGTGAGGACTTAACTTATTTGTCTTAATCAAGTTTTGAGGTAAAATAATTTCATGCGCACAATTTCTCGCATTTAAAAGTTGCGCCAAAGCAGGCTGTAAATCTAATTTGCACTTATTGATCCTAATCAAAACTATAATGGCATTGCCAAATCAGTACGTGAAGCGTGGAAAAATTGCGATGGGAATTAAAATGGGTTCTTTTAAAATTCATTAGGGAACTCTTTTCAAAAGTCTGTGTCCAGGAATAATATTTCTATCGCTATTGTTACTTATATGGAAATTCTAAGCACTACATTATGCTGGTATGAGTGTTTTATGGTAATTAATTGATATAAATTAAAGGAAGTTATAATTAGAGCTATTGATTAAATTTGTATTGTGAGTGTTCTGGTGGTGTAGAGTATGACAAGTAGGTGGCAGTGTCACCAAACATTTTAAATTTTTTCATTGAGGAAGTCTATTAATAAAGTTTTGTTTACGCTCATTTATTTTTTATTGATTTTGTGGCTAATTCATTTTTATCAATACTGTTTAACTAGTGGCATGGCATGATCTGTGTTTATTATTTAAATTCCGTTGCTCCTTTTTTCAAATATTAGGGGGTTTTTAATTTATAATTAAAGGCTAGTTTTACTTGCAAATAATAATTTGTTTTCAAAATATGTTTTCTTAGATTCGGACCGGGACTGGTAATATACTGGTTTGGATTTGTGGAATCTGTGGTCCAATCAAGTGATCATCAAGGATTGTTAATTAAAGACCACTTTCCCTCTGATGTAGTTCACATCCTCCCACCAAAAAGTCTGAGAGACAATTAAAAACGTAAGTCAGTATTGAGGTGACTAAATTGTTTACTGTAACTTATAATTGTAGGTCAACAATATTGTGATTTTAAATAAGCAGAAGGATAGTATGATACTAACATTTTTTTTTAATTAAAAAAGACGCCGTCCTTTAGCACTATGTAATTACTAAATTGTACTTTACTCGTTATTAAAGCTTATTATGAAGCATGACTCAGCTAGCAGATGATGTTCATGATATTTACTTTTATATGTCTTTTTTCCCACATAAATAATGTCTGACAGACAGTACTTGTACATCCTGTTTGAGAATGTAAAAATTGCTTTATGTTGTTAAGTGTAAATAGGTAGTCTAGCAAATTAGGATAGCGTTGTTAATTGTTTCAATTTGACAGTTTTGCTGTAGCTCATTTTGTTCTCGTAAGATGACAAGTCAAGCAGAACGTATTAAGGCATTTAAGCTTGCACAACATGCAAGGTTAAGGAAGCAGGTATGTGTTTTATATTCAATTTTATTCTCCGATCTGTGTAACGCTTTTTTTGTTCATTTCAAATTGACCGACATATTCTTATTTTCAAGTAAATCTATACCTTGCCTTTAGTAAAGACAATAACCAACTTAAATTTGGAATTAAAAAGGACCCTTTGTGGTTAATCATTAACCAAGGCAATGTGAACAATGAACTTGACATTTATTACAAGACACTCATAAAGTAAGTGAAACTGAAATAATTAAATCAATATCGGTATCTTAACATGTGGTCAATTTTGAAATTTAGTTGTTATGTATACAGGAAGTAGTGGTACAGTGAGAGGGTTGTTATTATTTTATTGCGGCATCAGGTTAGATGAAACTTTTCTGGTAAAATTGAATGATTACAACTTTGTTTTAACCTTCTAATCCAATTAAAGAGACACCAATGAACCTAATTCCCACATTAAGAGATTTAGTGTTTAAATTAAGGATGGGCAAATCTCATATATTTGATAACTATCATAGGAATTTGTATAGTACAATACCATCTCTCACCTACTTCTTGTACCTCGACCTAAATTCCTAACTAACTTTCCATAGGCGCCTACTATAAATTTTATTGTAATCTTGCGCATTTTAATCATTAGATAATTGATGTGCAGGGTAGATGGGATTCATACATTTTATATCAAATTGATGAAATTAAAGTTTTTATTACCATTTTTTTTCTACAAGAGAGTGAAACAGAAATCGGTTGTTGTGAAGATAAAGTAACGGGCCTCTCTTCTTTACGTGCAAACGCAGTAAATTTTTTAATTTGCAAGAAAAAATGAAATTATTACGTGGGGAGTTTTTTTATGTTATCTACCTAGCGATGAAAAGGAGCAGTTACAGGGCAAACAAAGTTTCATTTTTCAACATAGGACTTATTCCAACTTTTTCGAAAATAATTCTGCACAGCATTTTCCAAGTCTTCATTCCATGAACAGTTAGAAAGAGATTATGGTGCAAGGGAGCCAGATCGGGACTGTAAGGTGCATGTTCTAATTCCTTAAAACCGCATTCGTTTATTACTTCATGAAAAATTTGTTATGCATTATACAGTTGTCGTGCAGAAGAAGAGAGCATAATTGTGGGTTTTTTGCGTTTGTGTTTCAAGTTATTGATTTGTGATTTGTCAAATGTCCCATTTAACATTTTACTTTTATTTCACTTTTTGTCTTTCATTCTTTCCTCTAGCGCATATTGGAGCGTGTGTCTTTATTCTTTTCTGTATAACTACACCAGAAGATCCGGTAGCATTTTTTAATTCGAAGACAGAAGAACAGTTGCAATAAATTTATCTCTAGCACCTGAAGAAACAAATTAATTAGTGTCATTTATTGCTAAATTTTTACTAGGTTCAATTTTTTGCCTCTTCTTTTTTTAATTCCTTTCTTCCAGTTGTCTAAAATTTTGCTCCACCACTTTCTCATATGTCCAAATACATCCACATCTGCTTTCCAAATTTTTATTATGTGCAAGAGGAGAACTTTAAAATACCATGCTTCAAATATATTCATATTACACCATCCTGAGGTGCTGCTGGCCTTCCTCGCTATTGTAGTGCTAGGTATGTGAGAGGTTCCTGGTGCTAATTTTTTTGAAACCTCTACCATGTTCAAGCTTTCCTAGGTATCGTTTTGGTAGGACTTTGATTTGGAGGTTCTTTCGTAGTTTCACATCGAGTTTCACACCATTTTTACCTGAAACAAAGGAAATGGAATTAAAGCATATCTAAAAAAGCTAAACTTAATTTTTGTATTTTTCAGTTTTGCAATACAATGGTATAGTATAGTACTCTTAGATATTTTTGTTGTCCTTCATAGTTTATACTGGTTTGGACCTATTAGATAATCAACAAATAGTGATATTCAATTAACTAATTCTAATTATTCGGCATCAGTAGTAAAAACGTTTATTTTAACTACCACACAAGGAAGTTAATGTTCGCCATTTTGACTTTATAGTTGTATATTATACAAAGAATTATTTCTTTACGTCTTATTAGCGACAATTAATAGAAGTCGGCTCTTACTCACTACAGGGTTTGATATTAATTTTAGGATTTAGTTGCGTTCATGGAATACAGATTTTTATCTTACAAGTCGACCTGTTTCTATAAATTTGTTCAACTCCTTTTTACTTTAGGATGAGGAAGAACAGTGGATATCGAGTGAGGAATTATGTACCGAGGGTAGCAGTGACGAAGAATCTCATGCAAGCACCACAAGTCACCGAAAAATGAAACGAAATAAACCACAGAAACGAGGAATATCACCACTTGCTCAACTTCCGAAAAAAGAATCAACCTCTTCAAATCTACAGGAATCCAAATATTTATTTCCAGAGCGTGTCCAGTCCGTTGATAAAGCGAACTCTCAGAAATCAGTTGATTCAAAGAACAGCGAATCTGAGGAATCGATCGATGAGTCTGAAATGGAAAAGATGATTCAGTGGAGACCCAAACGGGGCAGCATTAAGTTGCCGGATTTCCCAGAAGGTATTTCACTTGAAGTCACATCCGTAGACAATCCATAATCTCTTAAGAGTGTTATATTTATATAGTTGTTGACATTTTACATGTATTTTATATTTGTATACTTACCTTTTGCACCAACACTTTTAGCAATAAAATATTTGTTGTTTCTATTTGTTACATGCGCAAGATCACTGGTTCTGTTTTAATTTAGAGACAACTCAAGACCACCTGTCTAAAATGGATTATGGTCTCTATACTGAAATGTCTATTGTTGTAAGACGTCTGAACCAACGACCACTAACACAAAAATGCCATTTAGTTTCTCATGAAACAATTGCAGAAGAGTATCTACCTAAACAGCCCATTCAAGACACAAGTAGTGCTACAGTTTCAACATTATCTGCTAATATGTTCCAGCTTGATTCCAAGATTAATGAGAAAGATTTGTTGTATCAGGTACTATCTGCAATTTACTAAGAGTATGTAGTAGTAATAGACTAATAAATTCACAGAAAGTGAAAGGTCAACGTAAAGTTGCGCAGAATGAAATGTGCATGTTAATATTCAATGATAATGAACCGCGTAGGGACACCCAAAAGTTTCTTGAATTGTGCCATTTTGATGTTAAGAGGCAAACGACTGGTAAGTGTCGACATTTTTCAAACAGAATTTTGATTAATTAACATCCTTAGAAATTGAAGATAGTAAAGAATGTCGACCTAAGATCCGTGCTAAAACATATCGAAAGAGTTTTTTAATACGAAATATACATGTAAGTGTGTGATTGTATCTATCGGCCGCAGTATCATATAGACATATTGAGAATACATCTATGGGCAGTATTCATAACACTGTTGTTGCAACTGAATTTGGCACTATTGCTAACTGTCTTATTGGTGCCATAACTGACAAAACGTGAAAAAGTTTAACGCAGATGCCGCTGCTATGGAACTGTTAAAAACTCTTTACATGCTGCTTTACTGGCTGTTGTATCTTCAACTGACCCTAATAGGTACATTAATTCTGTTTGCCTATGGTTCTTTCAACCTGGGACACACAGTATAATGCTTTATTGCTTGGGTTGAGTGCAAGAGCAGCGAGTAATTTTTATTACAAGCTGAACACCGCCCTTTGAGCTGTAATTATTACGATCACTTTCCTTTCTATATTTTGCAGCTGCTACTCAATAAAGGCACTATTATTATATGTCTCAATATAATCGCCTTGGAACTTTCATATTCCTTCCTTGTAGAAGGTGACCATCAAGGTCTAGGTATCGAAGCTGTCGATAATGTAAGAGTGGCCCCTGGGATCTCGGAAATCGTAATACATACAAAGTGAGTTAAAAAAGTTAAAGTTGTGCATTTTGAGGTCGAATCTAAAGCTACTTAGAAAGTGAAGGAATTCCGAATACTGTTGGAGATCGGCATACCAGAATTAACTATTTCTTTTATATATTTTTTTGCGATTTTATTTGAAGGGTTGTTTGAGAACAAATGCCACTGTCTCTTTGCAACTTTTTTTCCGTACAAGCTAGCATAATTAGGTTTTAAGTTTGACGTTTCACTTTTTGGGACCATCCTCAACTTTATTCTGTGAAATATACAGATCTGATATGATAATTAATGAGACGTATACACGGTGGTTTAAATTTGGATCTCAGAGATACGGTGGAGTTTCCCCTTTTTGTGACTATGGCACACTAGATGTAGAAACTACGGGCTACCAACTAACTATAACCTTGGGCTACAATAGGTACTTCGTTATTTATTATGGACGTCATAGATTTTTATGGAATGAGATAGAAGACCAAAAAAGAGAAAAATTATGACGATTTCTCAACAAATCATCCACGAGTAACTATAGGTAGATCTTGCTGAATCAACATGGTTATGATATAAATTTATGTAAAAGTATTGCACGTGATAAGTACGTTACGTTATTATGTATCTTTTTCTGCCCTCTATCTCATTCCGTCATCTGTGAAAATCAAATATAGCATCCGTAAGAAGTAAGAAAGAAAGTAGTAGCGTGTAACTTTTACATCTAGCGTGTTATTGGAATAATTCTGATAGCAGATTCAGATTCTCCGAAAAAAAATTGCTAATAGATAGTGCTAACGGAAACCGCCTATTTTCGACCGTTTAAGCTAGGGAAAATGAAAACGAAATTTGACATTTTCAGTTTTTCGGTGAAATCCCAATTATTTTCAATGATTTTTCAAAAATTCCAAATGCGTTTTTTAGTCACAAAAAGGGGCAACTTTGCCCCCATTTAACCTACACTGTTTCTCTCATCGTTACGGCCGAGATCCCAATGGTGAGCCACGATTTTGAAAAAATTCTTCCTATTCGGATCTCCTTTTACAAGAATTTACACTTATTTTCATAATAAGAAAAAATTATCAATAATTATCTATACAACAGTAATCAATAATATCGATAATATATGATAATATGAACAATCGGCAATATCGATATCAACAATCCATCAAATCGATATATTGATATAAGTATAACTACAACTTAATGATTGATGATAGGTATTACCTATATAATACACCATCGATTTTAAACAATAGGTGAATACCTACTCTGAAACACTGTTTAGAAAGGTTTCTTTTTAAATCTACGATCATTTTTAATTACTAAATTATAATAGTTTTGGGTCTATAACTTCGCATTTCTTCTCTTATCAGTCCAGTACTCGAGATTGTTTAGCTCGCTTAATGCAGGCGTGAAATAATAATTAATAAAATTCAGGAAAGAATTGTTCGTGTCCCGGATTTCTGATTTGTAATCTTTTATTATATTTTAGTTATATTCTGGAGGTTCCTGATTTGTGGAAGGCGGGATTTGTCTACCTACATCAAAAGTTACGATATCCAACACTTGAATTGTTGTTTTTAAGCACATGGTGGAACCATCTTCAACAACGTGTGTATTTCAAAATGTTGGACAATTTACTTTTTCTGAAACTACTTTACAAACAACTACCTATACTTTCGTCTCTAAAAATGCTGAATAAAATGGGAGTTTCCTCTCTAGTGAGGAAAGTAAAAAGTTAATCTTAATAATGACATTTAAAATTGTGGCATACCCGCATCTAGATTTCATAATTCTAAATTTCATAATTGCATACGATAATTTTGCAAATTTGATTGTAGTTTCAGAAAAAATTATATGTAAAACTTGTTACGCTCATGTGTTTGATCGAGATGAAAAACTCCACTTTCTTCTCTAGTTGTAGGTACAAATAATTATTTCACAATCAATCAGTTCTGATTCGTGCAACTTGCATAATTGCTCTTCGTTTCCATTCCGCAAATACCTATAGTAGAATTTTTGATATAGGTATTTCTAATATAGCCAACTCGTAATCGATGTCGTAAAAGTAGGCTTTTGTATCAAAATCCCATTTGTAAAAGTTGGAAACAGTTATATGCAGACTAAATTTTTGTTAAACATCCAATGTAGGGAAGTGTTCTACAATTAACTTTAAGGTTGTGTTAACTAAAAAATGAATGCAAGAGAGAAATTTGTCATTAGGTCTAGCTTGTCAAGTTTTGTGTCATATGTAAATTGACGTACGATAAGCAGCCATATTATATTGATCAAACAAACTTTACATTCAGTGTACTTTTTACAGGTAGCGAAGTTTTATTCAATGGCGAAATCTTCTTTAACGGACGAGGAAAAACTTAAACTGGAAACCTTACTTGCAGATGGTAAGTTAAAGCTATTTTTAACTTTTATCATTGCTTTTATACAGAAAAGTACCGACGTAGGTACCCACATTTGACAAATCTTTAGGGGCTTATAATTATTCTTAAATTTTTGTTGAGAATGTATTGCTTCTCTATTAGTTAAAGCGCGTTAACAAAACGTCAGCGACGCAGTGATAGTGAGGTATATAAGAATATTTTATTTAAAAATTATATGTTGTGGAATAAAATTCTGTGAGTTAAGTACCTACAGAGTGCTTATAAAGTTATGCGCAATGTGCAAAACTCTATTTATCAAATTAAATGTTGACACCAATAATGTGAAATTTGAATAAGTATGATGTAGGTACGCTGAAAATGTGCATTTTCCACAACCGATCGACGACTTTTAACATACCTACTGGCTACTAGTATCCACAAAAAATGTGCTCTTGGTGGTGAAAATTTACCTACCTAGGCATAGAATTACACTAAGCTATATAGCGCAATAGCGAAACCTGCAAGCATACATTTTTCTCACCAATGCTTTCTGATAATGCAATAAAGAGTAGGTACCTAAGTCAAAGTAAGTGGTTGATTTTGGTCCTTCAAATTTGCAGATAGCGAGGAATCTCCTACAAGTAACACAAATCATGTGGAAAAAAGCGAAAAAGCAAATGAAACGCACTCCGAAGAGGATTCTTCAGACTATAACTATTTCAAAATGAAAACTGAGGAAAAATCCCTTATGGCGAACTTAACGACACAATTACAGGTTCCTATGCGAATTTTAGCAAAGAATTTTGTATCGATTTACGAATCCAATTTTTATTTAGGAGATTTTGCATTCGTACGGAGAAGATTGCAATAAACTGGAGACGTCGGAAGGGGACGTTTTAGAATGCGCTGATAATGAAGGGAAGTTTTGGAAACACGATCAACTGCAACAACGATTAGAACACATTCAAAAGAGGCTTAACCAAATTGCCGTAAAAGATGCTGAAGAGCAAGAACGTTTGAGCTCGATTCATTTAAATTCAAATGAATGATACAATTGCGATTAATAATAATTAATTAATGACATTTTTTACACTTTTATTTATTAAAATACTTAATGTAGATTTCGACTTGGGAATTTTTATTTACAAATACTTTGCTCCTGCTTCAGGCAATTGTGACTAGCCTCGCAATCATTAAGGGGATTTAGGAGACAATAGAATATTCAAGGGGAAAATTATACCTCAATTGTACATCTGTGCAAGTTTCACCCTCACTTAAACGTGATCTGAAGTTATAAATTTCTTGTTTATAACCCATTCCAGACTATTTTCTCGCGTTATTGTTTGAAAACACTTGCAAAAATTTAATTAAACCTTACTAATTCGCAAACTTGCGTTATAAGACGTAAATAAAGTTGGTCGTCGCTATCAAACATTCGTAATCCAGGTTCAAATTAATAGGCATTATGATTTGATTTATAGCCGTATTATGTACTTGTTATGAAACCAGGCGAATGAAATTAACTTTTCTATTGTATGCCGCGCATATATTGTATTTAGGAAATCAACCCTCACATTTATACGGTTTCGAACATAATAAACCCCCTTTATTGAATTCAACCTACCGCAGGATCGTAATTTGTTAATATGTTTACCATAAATTTCATTATCCTATTAATTATTTATCTACTAGAGGCATTTGCGAATGATATTAACGAGCGTATAAGGTGTATTTTGTATCTAACCAATGCCCAATGTACCACGCGTCCGTTGTGTTGTGTAGAAGGTGGTTGATTTTCAGTGCATTTCTCAAAAGTAAAATAAGTTACCCATAGATAAATAAATACGTCAACAAATTTGGTAGTAGAGCACGCCAATATGTTATCTCTGTATATAGGCAGGCGCCATCTTTCACTAGCAAACTTGAAAAAAATTACAAAATCGGAAAAGCCAAACTTTGGGAGTTTGGGAAACATAGTTTTCAAGAGAAACGTTTTGAGTCCTAGCCTTTTTTTAAATTCTTCCTCTGGTTCCCTGTACCGGTTGGCATACTTTATATTCCGTGGGTGGCCGGGTGGTAGCGGCTGTGATGGTGAAACAGGTGGTCGACGATGCATGGTTAGATGCAACGTCCATATCTTCATTCGCATGGCTGTGTAGGACCATAATTACTTGTTTATGTGTAATAAAAAAACATTCATTTGACCGGGAATCAAATTCGCCCATTCTCAAAGGATCCGCATACTTACTTATGACGTACCTAACTACCTAGGCAATTTGAAAACGAAATTGTAAGGTGAAAGTCTAATAGTGTATCAATTGAAAGCGCTTCATTGCATCAATAATAATTGCCATACAAAACTGACATAACGTATACACTTTATTTTCATTCGTCTTGTAAAAAAGTAGGTTCTGCATTAAATAAATAGGATCCTGAAACTAGCTATGCATTTATATTTATTTATTACATAGATTCTACTTTTAATTATGAATTTGCATCAAGTAAATTTTACCCAAAATCATCATATGAAACTTTCATTTTCATGCCTACTTTTGTGTGAGGAAATTTAGGTTCCATGGCAGAGGCAGGAAAACTTTACCAGATAGTGGAGCGAAATCGGGCCAAAAATGTGACAAAATTTTTTTTCGAGGTATAACAAGATCAGACCTAGTAGAGTATGTAGATATTGTAATTCTGCGTCCGAAATGGTGTTTTTCGTCGACCTCTCGATAACAATATAAATTACTCCTTAGTGACGAGTACAATGATGAAGCTTATTAATCGTTAGCAACCATTAATGGTTAGCAACCAACCATTATACGTTAGCAACCATTAATCGTTAGCAACCACTTATACATAACAACCATTTTATTAAAGGGAAATGACAATTATATAACAATTCACTTTCGGCAACAGCTGAGAACTTCCATCCACCTAACCATTTTAATCTCGGTTTTAATGTAGTGAGATCAGCAGCCAGTATGGTCGCCAAACGATCTCAGCAAAGCATATCCTGATGTATGTATGTGTAGCTCCTCGGATAAGGTATTGTTAAGGTATTCAGTTACTTTACCTTCAACATTGAGTACGTCGACCACAGGGATGAACATTTCCATATCTTTTACTGTTAATACACGTACTTTAGTACAGTTGCAAAAGAATTCTAATTTCACATACCTTTTCAAGGTAAAATGTCAACGTGACATTTTCGGAAATATCTCCTTTCAAATTCATTGTATTCCATCAATTGCCGAACTGATCGAAACCGTTCCAATAAGTTTCTTTTGATTTGAGTGGATATAATGTTAAAATCGTCTCCGCAGCAGAGCAAGCAACATAATCTTCCACTGCGATTACAAGGACTGACGCTACAGCATAAAACAACACATTACTATAGCAACGACAATAGCTGTAATTTAGTGAAAAATCGTCGCTCATAATTTCGTTTGTAATTTCTTGTAGTTGAATTTAAAATTACCTACCCCAGTGAAGTCGACGAAAAAACGTTGTATGCAATTCATGTATAAATCGGCGATTATTGGTTCGTTCGAATTTAGTCCACTCGCTGCGCTCGTGGACTAAACATCTCACTCACCAATAAAACGCCTCATTTATACACTCATTGCATAAATAACTATTATTATGATTACCCGGTCGTTATAGTGTAATTGTTTAAGCGAGTGTTTAATTGAAAATAGTTTTTTGTGTTTTGTGTAAGGATACCGTTTATTTGGATTTCATTTCCAGGATATGTAATGTAAGTAATTAAGTCTTAATTTTAGTCTTTTTGTAACACTTGTTTGTGTTTTTGGCAAAATGAATCAATCGACTGGACGAGACATATCTATTGGTGAATTCGAAGCAAATACCCGGAAGAAGGTACTCATAAACGGCAAGTGGAATGTCAGAACGAGACATATCTATTGGTAATGTCAAAGTTTTCAGTGCAAATATCTGCAGAATGGAATGTCGGAGGATTTTGAATGTTTATGTGTAAAGAGCCTCTCTATGGATCATCTACCAAGAAAGTAAATATCGATATACCGTATAACCGAACCATTTCGGTTTAAAAAATATTCGCTTTATCTGCAAAAGACTTCTATACAATTTATACTTTTAACGTTGTCGTGTTAATTTTATTCCTGGCGGTTGTAGTGTAAACAGTGTAGAACCAGGGGGTTTACACTACACGCCCATATTCTATGAGAATTGCACACGTTACACGATCCACGGGCCGCGAGTATTGGAAGGTCGTGTGTTGTTCCACACCAGCATTTTTCTATTTCACTTCCACCCTTATGCGACTTGTGTCTAAATTGCAGCATAATCGAACGCTTGATTTGAAGAAGCCTCTCCAAAAGACATAAGATGATCTACCTAATTAAATTTGAGTTGAAATCGATGACGAGGACTACAAGCATATTTGTTTTTAACATTTGAATCTGAATCTGAATCAGTCAGTTATCATTACAGGACCTGAAGATTTATATTTGCAATTTTTTATCGATTGCGTTCCTTTTATAGTCCAGTGGTTGAGAAAAATAGCAACACTAAATATTTTTAAATAGATCAGTTAGCACTGAGAGATCGAGTAATTGTTTTTTTAAATAAATTTGTCAGTGTATTTTTATGACAAATAATTATAATCTTGTTTTAACTACGTGTTCACATATATCTGTCTTCTAAAAGGTTATGCGCCCAGTATACCGCATCTGCGAATAAATTTCAAGCATTCAAAAGTTGTCGTTTGTGCAGATAATTTTTTCGAATTGTTTGTTATGAATGAAAAACTGGTGTCGTTCGTCAAGTTGAATGCTTCCAACTATGACAATTGGAGCTTCAAAATGAAGTTATTGTTAATAAAAGAAAAATGTTGGGAGGCTATCAGCAATGAGAAACAGGAACCAGTTACGGTACAGTGGAAATCGAAAAATGAGCTGGCAATGGCACATATTGGATTAGCAGTTGAAGATAACCAGCTGATACATATTAAGAAAGCTGAAACGGCAATGGAGGCTTGGCAAAATCTAAAAAGGGTTCACGTCAAAAACACTCTAAGTACAAAAGTGTGTCTGATGCGAAAAATTTGCCGTCTTCGTCTTGAACAGAAGGGTGATATGGAGACACACATCGCTACGCTAACGGACCTAGTAGAAAGGTTGAATGCAATGCAGGAAAATGCAGTTCTGGATGACCAGTGGTTAGTGGCAATTTTATTTAGCAGTCTCCCTGAGGAATATGAAACTCTAGTCACTGCTCTGGAGGCGAGGCCGGATGAAGATTTGACCCTGGATCTCGTAAAAGGAAAATTGATTGACGAGTGGCAGAAAAGAGTGAATCGTGCGAGTGGCGAAAACAGCAACGAGACAGCTTTGCATACTACAACCAGAAAAGAAAATGATAAGTGCTATTTTTGTAAAAAGGTGGGTCACAAGAAAACAAGCTGCGAAAAATGGAAGAAATGGAAGGAAAATAGGCAGAAAAACGGAAAGCAAGATGAAAAATTCGTTAATAAGGCGCACTGTGTGGTAAAAACTGATAATGAATCATCCAATTGGGCATTCACAGCAGGCAATCTGGCATTTCCGGGTGTTTGGATTCTTGATTCCGGTGCGACGTGCCATATTTCAAACAATCGTGATTTTTTCGAGTCCTTTGACAGCAGTGTCAAAGAAGATGTTAGTGTTGCTAACGGAATGAAAGTAAGATCTACTGGAAAAGGATCCGGAAAGTTAATCGCAGTTGATAGCTCGGATAGACGTCGCGTTATTATGGTTGATGATGTGCTGCTGGTAACAGAAATGAAGGTGAACTTATTGTCAGTGAAGAGACTAGTAAGCAAGGGATTCATTGTAAACTTTGACGCGAAAGGTGCTACCATTAGTAAAAACGGGACTGTAGGTGCGGTGGCTGAATTGATGAACAATTTGTTTGTGTTAAAACTCTATAATGAAAACGTGTCGTTGGTGACTCAGCCCACCGAGTGCGTTCATATCTGCCATCGTAAGCTTGGACATAGAGACCGTGACGCTGTAAAAATGCTTCCGAGATTGGCGAACGGAATAAAATTATGC